TTTCTGTCTTGTTGACAACAGTGTGATAGAAACAGAGAGGGAAGAGAACGCAGGAGGGGTTGTGAAAAACACAGCATGACGGGAGAGATTGAGAAAAGTTGAGAGGAGAGAGGGAGGAGAGGGGTGAAGGAGGGTGCAAGGGGGAGGGAGAGAGGTGGGAGTGGGAGGTGGAGGAGGGAAAAGAGGGGGTGGGCTGTGCGTGAGTAGAGGACCTCCCCGTGAACTGTGCAGTCGCGAGCCGGGTCATTGGGGCGAGGTTGTCAGAGCGTGCCTGAAACAGTACACCCAGGGGTTCAGCCAGAGTTCACACACTCAGTGTGCGAGATCCATGTCCCTCAGTCAGCGCTCGCCAGCCGCACACCAGCATACACACTGCAACGCAGGAAAAAACTCCCGTGTAACCTTACACACGCATGCACAAAGACAAGTCCGAAGCAACAACAAACAAACACAGGTGCACCTGCAGAAAGTACGGGATGTTTAAAATATCATCAGTCTTCTCAGCCTGAGCAAACAGCCTCACTCAGTGCCTCTACATGCATGCTGACATATTGTTTTCATATCAGTGTGGGCAGTTTTTCAAGGGGAGACATCCGCAAAACAAACACACAAGGAGGAAAAGTGAAAAGCCTCTCGTCTCTGTGAACCTCATAGACGGTCACTGATAGTGTCCATGGCCAGCAACAACAATACCAGCAGCAGCAGAAGAAGAAACATTGCAACACAGTGAGAAAGATTTTCTTTAATTTCAGTCAGTGTGGTTTAAATAGGAGAGGCCACTAAGCCAGAATCCCCTCTGTGTGACTGAGCTCTTTGTGGGAAAGCTGTCTGCTTTACTCCCATTGAAGACTGGTTGGCCCATTGTCAAACCCAGAGCTTGACCTGGTGTTGAACCCAATTGTCAAACTTGCAGTGTAGTGTGGGACCTTGGTGGGGGAGGGAGGAGAGGCACCAGAATGAGGTTTTCGCTGACTGAGGCGAGTGTTTGTCATCTCTCAGTCCCTGAAAGCCGGATGATTTCATACGCCTCGGTTAATGAAGAAAAAAGCTGTGAAAAGTGGAATTTCCCCTCTTTTTTAAACGCATAATTAATGTGCTGATTTCGCCCTGAATTCTCACATTTCATCGAAGCCTCTCCAGTCATGTGGTGACCACCCCAGTTCTTCTCCCAGTTCTCACGCTGGGGGAGAACTCAGTCTTGTGTGTCACATGAGGATTTGACAGACAGGCCCAGCTGTGGCAGTCAGGCGCCAGAGCGCCACGCCCTCCCAGTCCGAGGCAGACAAGGCCCAAAAACCCCAGAACAATCCAGTCTTTGTGGATATACTGGAAACCATCAACTGCATCCAAATGACCGTAAGCTGTAGATACAAGCCAGATGTTGGAATTCCTCGGCTCAGTTCAATCCCAGTCCAGTCTGGCTCATCCAAGCCCGGCAGCAGAGTGGTGGCAGGAAAGTGGGCGAGAGCTGGAATCGCTCTGTCATATGAAACCTAGTCCAATCGAAGCGGAGACGAACATTTTGACTTTTTAGTCCTCAAAGTACGGTAGAGCTGTCTAATTGAAAAATTGCTGCTCTTTTATTCAGGCTTTGTGACAATTCAAACCAGGCCGCTGCGCAGTTTTCATCATTTTGATGAAATGCTGTACAAAAACCCAGTCAAGTCTCACGAGGACAGCTGTGCTGCACATTACTCAATGTATAATTCAACCAAATCACCCCCAGATGCCCCTATCTTGAATGAGTTAGGAAAGCATCAAAACTGTTTTCGCCACTCGAGGCTGCGTAAAAAAACAAAAACAAAAAAAAACTGCGTCCTGTCCGTGTGAGTTGGATAGCGTCTTCTGCAAAAACAAGCCCAGCTCTGAGAACCAGATACAAAGCCGGGGGCCAAGAATTTTCATCCTCACTTCACGAGCAGCCTATCGTGCGATCAGGATCACCAAGAGGCCACGATAATATCTTGTAAGGTCTTAAATCTGACATGCTCAGAGCGATCTAGCTGGAGACTCATTTGTCCTTTTGCAAGGCTAATTACAGCAGGCTGGGCGACCACCCCCTGCATTCTCCGCCAACCTTTCACCTCCGAGGTGTTGAGCGGGCAATTACTCTTCTTGGCTTCTGTGTGTGAAGGGTACAAACACAAACTGGCTATTCCTCTCACTCTCCCGCTTTCTCTCTTACTCTTTTTCTCTCAGACTCTGGAGTATTCATAGTGCTTGGACAACATACAAGTGCAATACAAACACTCGCACCCACCTTTGGGTTCAGTAGCATGTCACGCGTGGGAAGACGGCTGCTGCTGCTGTTTTTTGCCTCACACAACCTCTGCGCCGGCTTTTACTTCACTTTTTTAGTGGATGTTTTTGTCAGAGACTTAAGAGAATTAAAATATTCTTCAGCTTCCTTTTGTCAACGTCGTCCTTTAGAGGATATACTCTTTGGGAGACGTGGTGAAAATGATTGACGCAGCTGTGCATGCAAACCTTTTTCATTTTAATATTGTCTTATAATGCAGATATAAACCCTTCCTGCGTGCAAAAAAAGGATAATGAGAGATCCATATGTGCTAAACCTCTGGCAAAAAGTACATTTTCCACTTTAGCTAAGAGAAGAATGAGGAACAAATTGTCCTCTGGAGATGTGAGAGGTTTTCGAGTGTGATTTCTGCGCAGACATTTAACTGAGCCCCATGCTGACTCAAATGTTCAAAAAAAGGGCTCCAGCTCTCTCTAGCTGCTTGATAACCCACATCCTCTCCTCAGAACCCTCACTAACAGCTCTCCAGAGGGATGCTTTCATTCTGACGCACACTCTGTGTTTGGTCTGTTTCCATTTAGTTAAGTTCAGGTGTAGTTCACAGAGGCCGCTGACTCCAGTCACATGACTCTCCTGCAGGCTTTTGAGGCCTTTTTTCATGTGTAACACAGCCTGGTGATAGATCCAGGGCTTTTCCTTCTTTTTTTTTTCCCAAATGAACTCTTAAAGAGTGTCAGCTATTTTACATAAGCCAAGAAAGTATGCTCGGTATCTCCTCTATTTTTATTCCTGTCAGTCTTATCAGTGTCTGTGGTTTAGTGAGGGTCTGTAACCTGCTCATCTCATGTCTCTCTTTGTCAGGGAGAGAGCAACAGCGTGTTAAAAAGGTTGTATAACCCTCTGCTCTGTTTTTTAGATGAGGGCGCTGAGAGGACGCTGCCCTCCATCTGACCCACATCTGATTCACCTTGAGCAAGGCAGGCTGCTGGCAACTCACACCGAGCCACAGAGTTCAGTCATGCTGCGACACAGTTGCGTAATCTACGAAGCTGCTCTGTAATAAATAATTCTGGCTGAGGCGGTCCATCTGGGAACAACATTTTTCTGCAGAGATCTCCTGACGTGATGCCTAGTGGGCTTTATAAATATCCTGAGCCCATCCGCGCAGTGTGAACTGTGTTTCACCCCCACACACCCTTCCCGTTGGAGTGTTTGCCTTCTGCTCACAGTGAAAAGCAGGCTTTGCTTTGCTTTGTTTGTCCCTCAGCGCTTACCTCCCACTTTCTCCCTGTTAACTGTCAGTGTTCAAAAGCAGAACACTGGAAACCACATGTGAAACAGAACTCTCTTGGCTGCACAAAGTAGGTGAATGACCCGAGGGTTTTTTTCATGTCATGAGGGAGCTCGGCAAGATCATATCTGCATATTCTCTACTCTTAAACCTGCACGAGTGACTGAATATATGCTGTTTTTCATTTTAAAATCACACAGACTAAAGTACAGCATTATCTCAGAGAATTTTTACTCGTGTTTCTCATCAAGGTGCCAAAAAGTTCTTGGTGAATTTATCACATGAAGCCTTTTCTCTCCAAAACAAGTATTTGAAAAACTGAAAATGATTCAGAGCTCTGCCAGGCTGAGCAAAAATCCAGCTCATAAGACCTGTTTACCTTGGCTTCACCGGCTCCCAGTGTCTTCGAGGAGTGATTTTAAAGTTCTCCAACTTGTTTACAATGTTCTTTATAGTTTGAGACCGGCCAGCTTTACCGAGTCTTCATTATATTATAATCCAGTGTGCCTCTGTGGCCTCAGTTCCTTTGCAGCACATTTTCTTTTTTACAGTCTGTCACACAAATGAGGGACTCTGCAGCGCAGTCTTTTGAAACTTTGGACCAAAACTAAGAAACCTTATTCTCAAGGCTATAAAAGATGCACACTTTATGACTGTTTTGAATACATATATTTCCAATATTACCTTTAACTGTCAGTGTTGCTTTTTTCCAATCTATACACACACATATTTCATCATTCCTATCTTTTCTACTGTGCAGGTTTGCTTAAAACTAAATTACTTGATTTTATTGTGCAGTGTTTGCACACATTCGCTTGTTTCCCTTCTTTTATTGTAAACATTTCAAAGACAAACACATACACACTGTCCAACTTGGAGGAAAAGGAGTATTTATTTGCATCATTTGGGTACTAGACCTTAATCAAGCGAACAGGGTTAGGGTTAGGTCTTGTTTTATTGTAAACAGGGATATTATTGGCTGAGGACCAAATGCGGTAAAAAGCAAAGAGCAGAGCAATGTTGCATTAAACAATATAGCTCTATCTGTTTGGTAACAGCCAATAATAAGATGGTTATATTTGGTTAAATGAACTACAGTCCCTCAGTAAAGGAAATATACTGACCAATAAAAGTGAGAAAAGTGTATTTCCTGCAGTTTGGTGAAATGTTTCTGCACAAGTTCACAGCTTTTTTTGATGATTATTTGCTCATTTGTCCATTTTGAATGTTGCTACATCATCTATCTGTGGCTTTTAATTATTCACTATATGAGGAGTTTTGTCATGAGTGGAACTATTTACTTTCATTATGTAGAAAAAAGCCCAACTGGAGCCGATTAACATTTAATTAATTATAAAATAATCCAATAATATCCCAGCAAAATGAAGAGTGAAAGGTACAGTGTCAGATTCAAGACTGAAATGCTCTTTCCCTCTCCCCTCCACAATCAACAGTGGCCTTGGGGGACAAAAAGCTCCATGCTGATGCAAAACAAGTATGAAAAAGCATCTATCAATACTTATTTTTAACTACTCTTTCTTCTTTATCTTCTAATCGAAGCATTTTGTACAATTGTTTTCTACTTAAGTGTGTATGGCTGAATGGACAGACATCTGCTACTGTGCATGCACAGTTATAGTAACAGTTCAATTAGGTGATTTCAATGGATTTTTCGCCCATCTTCATAAGCACTGGGCAAGAAATGAAACAAATCCACCTCCACTACAGGAGGTAGCAACATGTCCTCTATCACTTTGTTTCTACTGGGTCACCTCAGAGTTGACCTTCAACATACCATCACACTTGATTAAACATTTTAACTTTTACTGTCACTTTAACAGCTCTGAACCTTTATCTCCTGTCGCCACTTTTCTCTGTCTGTTGAGGTTAGTTTTCTTACCTGGCTACCTGGTAACACATTAAAGTCCCCTCCTGATCGCTTTTTTTTTTTTCCTTTTTTTTTTTTGCTACTTAAAGAGTTATCAGTGGTCTTAAATTGTGATTGTGAAGTTTTTATCCAAAATCACATAGTAGCTCATTAGCAATTTGCCTCTGAGTCATGGGCGGAGACAGTGCTGCTCTGCACACTCCTCTTCATGCTAGCTTACAGCTTAACATTGCCGGTGTAGTAGAAGTGGCAGGCAACATAGGAGCTATTCAGCTTTTGGACACTAATGTCTTTGGTGTCTCGGGACACGATGAAAGCTAATATCATAATTAGCTTTCTTACAAGCATTGCAATCCACTAACACACATGCTTGTTCCGCAATCGTCCTCTGTATTTCCCCTCTATGTGCAGAGTGCGGCCTGCATAGCGGGGCTCCGGGGTGGAGCTTGGATTGGTTACGTATGAAATCTCACTGTTTCTGAACCTGCTGTTTGGGTCTGCCAGAGATTTACAGCGATTTGAATGAGGAAATACTCAGAAATGCAATTTTGCATTTAGTTTTCTCATGATCTGTCCCGTAGCATTAGAAAAATGCCTTATGAACGTATAAAAAACAAGAAAAACATCATTTTCATTTGGTCTTTGAGTGGGTCTTTAATGCTATTCAAGTGGGCTAAAGTGCAACATGCAAACTCTTAAGTTAGCATGCCGTGGTCTGGTTTAGCCATATACGTGAAAAAGAAAAGTGATCTCCAAATGTATTATCTTGGTTAAGGATGTCCCACATATTGATATTAGATATCGGTCTAAAAACAGCAATAAAACTAATATCAGATTATATCAGCTGAGTGCAAAACTTGTCATTCACAAGTTTGTGCTAATATTCGATCGTATTGGAAGTGACAAAAAGAATGTATCAGGACACCTCGAATATTGGTATCTTGGACTATGAAAAGTTTGATTTAGTCTGATTTCAGTTTAAGTAACAGGTATTTTTAAAGTTTACTTTCAGTTGTATCAATACACTTGATCAGTTTTTTTCAACACGTAAGGAAACTTATTGATAGATGGATCCTGGTGAGGTTACAGTCACAAGGCATTACTGTTAAGGTTGAGTTTGGCTGACATCCACATGGATTTACAAAGTCTCATCAGTCAACTTTCCTGGAATTCTTGTCCAATTCAAATGAAATACCTCCCTGTTCATACAGCACGTTGAACTGCTCCTCTTGTATAAAATGCTCCGTGTTGAAGTCCAAACTTTTGTTATATTTTTGTTCCAAACACATTATTGAAAGTGAGCTGCCCTCCCAGTGGTGCACTGTTGTTCCTAATCTCATCTCGACATGATACCATGCCTCGGGGAGAAATCTTAATGAACAAGTAGAGATAGCGGAGACACATTTTTCTGCCTATGTAGCTCCCAAACCTTTCCCACACAAAGATCACCATATAGATATTAGTGCTCCTCGGCTCTTTGCAGAGAAAGAAGTGTGCAGATACGGCTGACAGTCGGTGATGAATAGAATTCATGAAAAGTTATGCCTCTAGCTACTAAAGTGTGGAAAGAGTTTGACCTTGTGTTGCAGATCTACAGCCCCTTTTCCCTAATGTATATGCATGATGCCTATGAATGTAAAGGTCACACTTCCCACTGCAAACAGAGGTTGGTGTGATTGAGGACTTCACGGTGGGAAGTTATTCTCTTAAAATTTATCACCCTGGGAGATGCTTTGTTCTGCTCTTGCATCTGACACCTAACATGTCCCTCAGAGTCAAACGTCCTACACGATTTGTATATTCATTAATGGATTGCAGCTAATTTCCTACATTTATCTTCTTTGTGTCTTTGTAAAGGTGTGTGTGTGTGTGTGTGTGTGTGTGTGTGTGTGTGTGTGTGTGTGTGTGTGTGTGTGTGAAGGACTGACAACCTCTGAGCTTGCTGCTCCCTTTGACCTTTAACACCACGGTGTATAATAACTCTTACAGTCTGACAGGTCAACTGAGGCGTCACGGCTGGCCTCTTGCTGTGGGTTAGGGCTGAGCCTTTTTATCATACTACCGACCCTGTGATGGATGAACCCAGCAACAAGCTGGCGAGAGGGCTAACAGCAGAGTTCAGAGGAAGAGGATAAGGGGCTGTAACAAATAACACCTCACTGAACTCCACTCCACCACCTTCTCTTTGCCACTGGGCTCTTTTAGCTTATTTCAAGCTGCCTCACAAACAACACAGACTTTTTTTTTTTATGTATTTATTCAGACAATGACAATTTTTAACTGACTTACAGGGGTGGGAGGTGAAATGCTGCCATGTTAGCCATATCAAAGTGACAAAAACAGAAAACAACTATTCATCTGTGTTTGATCTCACAGGACTATCACTCTCGGGGCTCTATTTTCGTGTCCGCCGGTGAGGTGGCTGAAGGTGGCGGACCCCACGCAGTGGTTTCTTTATCTGGCGGAGCCCCACGTACAGCCAGTTTGGTATTTTCGTGGACTGAGGCGCACAGAGGTCCGCCAAGCTGGGCGTGGTGGCGAGGCAGGGGGAGGTGTTGACAGAATCAGCTGCCGCAGTGACATTTTCGTGCTTGCCAGAGGCGTATAAAGTGCGCTGAAAGCTCGCCGATTCAAACCTGGTCAGCTTTCAGCGCAGGCGGAGCGCAGCTGGTCTAGAGGTATTTTGGTAGACCGGCGGCATATCGGCATACGTCACTGATGCCTCACACAGTGTCAGGCACATTTCTGTGCAATAAATAATCATCAACAACTAATAATCTGAGTCAGCACATACATTTAGATCTATATAGATATATTCTGATCTATATCTGATCTGATGAGCGCGTTTGGCGCACGTTTGGACACATAACCTGACCAAATCAACACAGCTGAAGCCGCATTAAATTAAATTAAATTAAATTAAATTAAATTAAATATCTAGTAAATAGACACACATGATGAAGTTAACAAGATATGGAATTCGTCTCCCTACTTTTCTTTCTTCCTCTTCCTCTTATTTCTCACGCAGCTTGACCTGGACATGTCTCTGTGTCCTCTCCCCGTCCTGCTGCAGCTGCTGCTGCGGCGGCTGAACAGATGATTTGTTTCAGTGATCAGGGGCCTCATGTATCAACGCTGGCGGCACCAGAAAACCTTGCGTCCGCCAAGATCGGCGCACACGTCCAGATTTATCATCGCGACATGAGCGTCGTTCCAGCGCTAATCAACGGAAAGTGAGGAGGTGGTGTAGAAGTTGGCGTTGAGCCGATAATTGCGTTGACGGCACTTTGGCGACGCTGTGTGGCGGTGTTTGGTGACTCACTATGTGACAAGCATGCACCACATCCCCGTGGCCGAGCAGCACGTCGCCCAACATGACAAACCAGCAGCAGACGGAGGGATGCGAGCTGATCCCTGCCGGGCCGCCGTCCTCGCGCGGGAGAATCTCATCGCCACAATGTGAATGGGTAAGAAGTGAATACACAGTTCAATGAGCCAAATTCATTTATTTTCGCCACCAGACGCTTGAGGACATTTACGAGCCGGTCCAGCCGCTCGTTGATCCCCGCGATCCCCCTGATGATTTCTTCCTGCGATTGCAGGACCGCCTCCGTGAGGACCCTTCCACTGCGTCCGGGTGGTCCAGTGGAAGCACCGCGGCTGGTGGACGCTCCACCGCTTGTCGGCCTGCTGGTGCTGATGCTGGTGCTGGGGCCGGGGGCCGGGGTGGCCCGAATGCCGCTGGTCCTGGCCGACGACTCCGAGCCGGCGGATGGGCTGCCGCGGGCCGGGGTTCCGCAAGCCGGCGACACGGCCGACACATTGATTTCTGTGACACAATAAAAATATTTGTTCATTTCAATTCCTGCTTCTGTGTATCTGTTGCATTTACATCTCTCTCCACGGTATCATAGGTATTGTAATCCAGTATTTAGAGGTCAGTTATGCACATTACAGTTGTTTATTGCATAAAAAGTTATCGAAAAATGAAGTTAAGGGCGAAGTATAAATCACGTCTAAAAATAGACTGAATCTCGACGTTGAAATGAAGTATAAACTTAGACTAGACGTCTAATATACATCTTTTGCTCAGTGGGATGGCAAAGCATGTGGACATTTGTGTGACACGCCACTTACCCTATAATAATAATCGCCACCACCCGCTGCTCAAACGGCGTGAGGGTCTCCTCCCCCGGAGCCCCACCTGTCTGGCCGGTACTCTTCCGGAGGGCAGCTGTACGCCGCTTGACCTCCACCTTGAGGTTCGACCACTTTTTTAAAAATCTCCGCGGGGGTGCGTGTCTCGGAACCCACCTCGTTCACCCTCTCGCAAACTTTCTCCCACTCCAAAAGTTTTCGTTTTGCACTGACGCCACTGGACAGGCTGCCAAACAAAACACGCTGTCGCTCCTCCACCTCCGCCACCAGCACCTCCACCTCGCACGCCGTAAATTTAGTTTTTCTTTTCATTTTGTCTGCGTGCGAGGACAGGGAGACCCTATTTAAATAAATCTGCATATTTATAGGAGGGCGTAACGGGGGCTGGCCCGCTCACTCCGACATCTGCACTCAATTCCAAGCTGTTTGGGATTTATCAAGGAAACACACGTGGCTTTCGGCGCCCGCACACCTTGATACATACAGATTTTTTTCAGCGTGACGGACCTTGCGTGCGCTCGTTTCTGGTATGAGTCCCACACAAGTGTTGATACATGAGGCCCCAGATGAGTTATTTACTTTAAGCCTACATATGATTTTTATAATATTCAGTTTTGTGAGCCAAATTTATTTTATATGCCAACATCTATGAAAGAAAGAGCCAGGCCACGGAGCGCGATGCGTCATTTACGCACAGATAGTTCAGGTTTTAATGCCATTATTGGAGTTTATGTTGTGATCTCTGCGCACAACCCACCTTTGTCACGTGAGGTTTAAATATGTGCAACTTTATGAGAGTGTCCTTATTTGTGGAAAAGGGTGTTTGTCTTACCAGTGGGTCCAAACTTACACACACCAAATCCATCTGTGCTCATATGAGAGAGTGTGAAGGACGTCCTCGTACAGTGACACTAGTTGAGGAGCTGCCTTCTGTCGCCATCGTGTGGCATTGCTGTCTTCAGACATCTCTTGATCTCTTTGACCACTTCACGAAAATAGTAATATGCCTCGCCGGTAGCGGATTTAAAGGCGATGAGAGGAGCTTATGTTATTGGTCAATACAGGTCTCGGCTGTGATAAACCCACTCCTCGCCCTCTCTCCTCCCTTGCTATGACTTACGCTGCTGGGAGGAGCTGAGTGAGGGAGGGGGAATACTTACGCCGGGCTGTGCAGCTCACCAAAATACCAAATTGTGCTTGGGAACGCCTTGTTGGAGCGGCGGACTTGACTTACACCGCGCCTGTGGCACGTCTCTGGCGAGGCACAAAAATAGAGATGTCTGTTCATCGTCAGAGCTACAGACAATGTTTCAGACAAATTGTGCACAACAGCAGCTTTTGTTTCCAGGTATGACTTAACTGCTGAAACGCATGTCTTGATGCAGTCAGCCTGCTTGGCTGTGTAATTTTATTCACTTCTGCTTATGTACTGTAAACATTTTTTTTCAACTTTTCATCTCGTGTTTGTGCAGCTCACTCATACATTCTGTCAGCCTCTGTGCCTCACCTTCGCAGCAAGCAGGGGCACCTACAGCAGCAGGGGGCGCCAATTTGACAAGAGTTAATACAAAACCGCTTTGCGGTGCAGATTTTTTGTTATTATCTTTTTTCTTTCTTTTTTGGAAGTGCTCATGCCGCCCCCCATGAGTCATGACACAAATGCCACCCCGGGTGGCTGCCAGGTTCGCCCGTGCCAAGAACCGCTACTGTACTGTAGGCATAATTCATGTTCTTGATTTGACAAATAGATATCCATAATGGATTAGTATAGCAGCTCCAGGTAAGACCTGAAACCAAAGTAGACAAACTTGGACAAAAAGTGAAGAAAAACATGCACCTGGAGATGTCTTTTTTTTTTTTTTTTATTAGGGATGATGGTGGCACAGCGCCCTTCATTTAAATAAGGGAGAAGACACAATTGAGCTTGTACAAAGAGTAGTCATGTCGTCATTTGCCATCACCTTTACATTATCATCATCATAATCAGAATGGACCACTGGTGAAAGGAAGGTTTTTTTAATGGGAAATTGTTGCTGTTGTCACCTTCAGTGTTTTGAATGAGATCGTTTGTGCCTTTATTCTGTTATGTGTTGACAGTACATTGAGAGTCACAGAATAAAAGAAAGAAAACCAGATATTTCCAAATAATTACCGCCGATGGGATCGAACCCACAGAGCAGTGAAAAACACATTTTACTGGCATTTCTCTTTACCCACTCAGCTACTGAATTTCTCTTTCTCTTTGAGGTTGGCGTATTATTGGGCATGTCCGGATTCACGTATTCCTAAGTTGTTTTAAAAAGCTCTCAATTTATTTTTCCGAACAAGAGCATGCCCTTCGGGCCAGCCACGCTAGCCCGAAGCCTTGTTTGTGGAACCGAACTCTCACTAAAATTAGCCAAGCTAACCGAAATAAGCCAGGCTTTGAGCTAAGCCAGCTTCGTGAAAAACCCCCCTGGTCTTACTCTCTCGCCTTTGTCTTCTGTTTTATTTCACAGGAAAACCGTAGCATTACCACTCAGGAGACCTTAATGTCAGTGGGGGATCTTCTGGTGTTTGCTTGTTGTATGTTGTGCCGGCTGTTCTGAGCAGAAGCCGAGAACGGCCATGGCTCTTCTTCTTTTTTTATGCACTGGTATTTCTTTATCTCGATATAACAAAGTTAGTTTTCTCGATTTTTTTTTCATTGTCTTGACATAAAGATCGTTTTCTCCTGAGAACGGAAATGGGGTTTAAGCTGACCTCAACGGTAACTTTTAAAAACACCCTCCAGATTAGCATATTTCTAAAATGCCCCAGCCACCATTGTCAACAGCAAGTCGGGGTTTCAATGAAAACGCTGACGGCACACTTCATTATGCGCATTACACTTCAACATGGGAACATGTAACTGCCATGCGCGATCGTTGCAAGTGTAATGCACATGCGCAAAATTGAGCGTAACAAAAACATTAAGTCATGATAGGTGTTGCAGTGCTCTCTTTATTTTTAGAGGCAGTGGTGTATTCAGACTATTCAAGGGGAAATAAAAAGTACCCAAAAAGTTGTGATTCATAAAAATCTACACTAGTCTGGAGTCCCTCCCCCAGGAGATTTTGAGCATGAAACACTTCATTTCCTGTTTTCTGGTTAATATTTATGCAACATGTAACACTAGAAATTGAGATACACGTAATTACTCACACAACTATCAAAAAGTGAATGCTACTTCCTGCATGAAGCTCACTGTCTTGTTAGATTTGATCTGTTATTCATGCATGGTCATTGTAATTTGGTGAAAATCAAATGTTGGGAGAAACCAATAAAACATTTTGAGACTTTCTGAGCCTCAAACTTGGCCCTCAAACCTTACATGCCAACTAAAGCAGTACTGTTCTACAAAGCTAAAAAAGAGCACTTTTCACATTAACTCTATTGGAAGGGCATTCAGAGGGCACTGTGCTGTGTTTCATACTGAAGAAGAGAAGCCAGTAAAGCCATTTTTATACATTTTTCTGAAAAGGGCACCCAAGAGGGCATTTTTAATGTTTCAGAGCATCCAAGAGGGATAGTTCAGCAGCGTTTTTCCTGACATGGGAGCCCCCCTGAGTACACCACGGTTAAGAGAGCACATTAGCTGGACCACACGAAGGGCACAAGGCCTTCCTTTGTCTTTATGCGCAAACAGAGACTCACAGTTATGTTCTCAATCATAATAAAACAGTGGCTCTGCTGATACAGTGAAATTGAGTTTTTTATTGGGACAGAGGGACTCAAGTTTTTTCCATTGTCCCTCTGTACATTGTGATACAGTCCTCTAAAAGGGCTGAAGACCAAGACAAAATCAATATTATCTACTCATATCCTCAGCCCTATATACTCCAGCCTGGCCAAGCTTTACTATCTCATTTACATGCAGAAACCGGCACCATTAACATGTCCACACAGAACTAAAGCTCCTTTTGGAAGCAAACCCTGAATATAACTCTTTATGCTACTGACTTTGAAGCTCCCAGAGTGCAAAAAAAAAAAGTCTTCAAAATACAGCCATGCCACCAAGCTGCAGACATTAGTCAAAAACAGCCAAACTTTCTTTAACTATGCTAGTTATAAATACATCTGGCCGAGGAAACAAAGCCAAAATAGTTAATGAAATTTGGTGCTTAAGTGAATCTCTAACCATTAGACATCCGGGAATCAAAGCTTTGAAACATTTTGTACATAGCTATGCATCAAGGTAAACACTTCTCGATGAAGGACCTAAAACAGATCATGACAAAGGGTGTTTTCATTGACGAAAACAGTACAAAAGACAAAAAAACACAACTCCATTCTCCACACAAAACATAAGCACCACACGGCCGGTCTGTCATCAACAACATTTCCACCAACCAAAGCAATCAAACATTTCCTCACAAAGGTCCCACATTTTTCTGTAATAACCCTGATGTTTTACACTTAAACATAATAATAATAATAATGATAATAATACATCAGATTTAATAGTGCTTTTTGTCAGTGACCTCAAAGCGCTTTTCATTGGCTACATAATTCATTCATTCACACAGTCACACCCTGGTGGTGGTAAACTACCTTGGTAGTCACAGCTGCCCTGGGGCAGACTGATGGAAACGTGGCTTCCAGTTTGTGCCTACAGCCTCTCCAACCACCACCACACAAGGTGGAAGCAAGGTGGGTTAAGTGTCTTGCCCAAGGACACAACAAACAGACTCGAGGTTCGAACTGCCAACCTTCCAGTTATTGGCTGACCTCTCTACCTCCTGAGCTACTGCCGCCCCATGAGCAATATGACTCACAGATCATGCTTCTTCAAGAGCAAACAAAGCGGATGGAGATTATTCAATGCTTCTTTCTATTTGAGTGACACCAATCAAAATGGCCAACTCAAACCTGAAAACTTTATGAAGTTGGAAAAAAGCAGGTGATAGCAGCAACTGTGAAAACTAAAACACTAATACTAATGCTCACATAGAGGGAGGCAGAAAAATGCTAGTTAAGCTAATGGCTGTTGTATGTGACAAGCTTATGCTGCTAGCAGGGTGTCAATTTAATTAAATCAGTTCAACCTTCATTTTCAGACTCTTTGTTTTTGGTTCCTTTAGGGAAACTAGTTATTGCAAATATTGGAAAAATTAAATGTCGAGTATTAATAACTTGGAGTTAACCAATGCTTTTCTTCCTCTACAGATAGCATTGAAGCTTTGGGCTCCAAAACACAACTGAGCAACAACCAAACTGTTGAAGTCAAGAACATTTTGTATGAATTAACATAATCTCCATCCATTATTTATGCAGTATACTATACGACAACCTGCTAGCTACCATAAACAACAGCTTGCTAACATCAGGCTGAAGTCTGGTGTAGCCTATTTACACTAATTAAGTAACACCTTAGTTTGGCAAGAGTTGCATGAAGAGTTTGATTATAGACAATTAAAATGATTGTGCAGTTTCTGTCAAACATGTGACACAATTTAGTTATGTTCACCAGAAATAAGCTGACTGCTACTACTAGCTTTTATCTAACAGAAGCTAAGGGCTAATTACAGTCACCCCATCTGAAAACATGGATGAATCAGTTCAGTTTCGGACAACAACCCACTGTCAGTGTAACAAAATAAAACTGAACACAACCATGGTGTTTCTGTTTGGAGACTTTGTGTGAATGTTTTAAATCTGGCATTATAATGTGTCAGGAAGTATTGGCAATAAACAATCCTATTTATTTTACAGGTTTCAAGTGTCTGTGAAGCAGTGGTGGGTATAAAGTGTTGCAGAAACTCATTTATCCTCAGAAGAGCAGTTTTCTGCTTCGAAGTCATGCTAAAGCATCTGCCAGGAAACTGGGAGTCACAGAATCCACGAGCGGATGTGATGTGAATAACGACAAAATCCTGCACCGACTGAGGTTTTACATGCGTTCAGCATCACTGCACAACAAGCCAAATGGACTCCAGACGCCTATAATATATCTAATGGATCATTGGAGGCCGACTTTCCGAGCCCCTGTGTCGTGGTTGCAAATGCTTGGATGGCACACTGGAAAAAGAAAACTGGCTTTTTGCTGTTTTAAAGGAAAGAAGCAGGAAGTTCTGGGGCCTTCAAAAACAAAGGTGCATTAACAGGTAATGGTGGCTGATAAAAAGTTATGAAAAGGCTCAGCAGAAGGAGTCAGATTCAGAGATCAGGAGTTAGTTTATGATGTTTTTGTTTTAATGCTGTTGTCCAGGTGTTATTTGGGAGCATGAGGGTCATCGTTAGTCAGCACTAAGGAAGTCATGTCCTGAACTCAACAGCTGTAGGTATCCTGGATGTTTTCTCGGTGACATTATCCATTGGTTTCAGCCCAATGAAGGTGTGTCCTGATTTGAAATGCTGACTCAGCTTAGCTTCATATCAGAGTCCTGAGTAAGGAAAAGAGGTGGAGTCGAGGCAAGCCTCTGGACTCCCTACAACCCACCTACCTGTCAGTCAAATCAGCTGTGTCCTATTTTTGCAACCTATGACCTTGATATCAATTTATCAGTATGCCAGATACATTTTGAAAAAATTCGCCCCCCCATACGGTGGGTACGGATAAATAAATGGACAAAATCCCTCAAACCATTTTTAACCAGACTGTAAACATGTTTAGTTTTTAATGCAAACATGAGCATTTTAACATGGGACCTGATGGGGATCTCTTGGCTTTCGGAGCTACCCCCAAGTGGACACTGGAAGAACTGCAGGTTTTTGCACTTGTTTCTTCAGGGTTTTTTTTGTTTGTTTGTTTGTTTGTTTGTTTTTACCCTTGTGCTGCTTTCTAAAAATTGATGTACCTTGGTGCCAGCTATGCTTACCTATTTAATCAATGATAAAACAATAAAAACCTAAAGTTCAATCAATACAACAAGGGAGCATGTGCAGGAAAACGATATCTCTTGTGCGAGCCTTGCAGTTTTTTTGATTGACATTATTTCCCAAATGTCACTTTTTTCCTCCCAAATTGTCATCATTATTTTTGTAACCCTCAAATGTCTCCAAAAAAAGCAATAATTTCTGCAGGGGGAAACAGAGCCAAACACTTGGATGCATGATCATTCACATTTTTAGTGTGAAAGAAGTCTGGACCCCTTACAGATTCATTGCCAATAACAACCAGAGACATCTTTTTGAAGTGTAACTGTTAACCAGATTTAAGTCTGGCTTCGTGAAATGGGCCCCAGGGAATGTGGTCACAGCTGGGACAGCTACACTCTCAGATTCCTCCCCATGTGACCAAACATTAGGTTCTCTTTTTCCACCTGCGCCTGGTCAGTCACTGTGGAGCTATGCGCCTTCAGCGGAGAAAAAGCTTTCCAAGCCTCCTTTGATTTATTCAGTATTTGGCTAACCTTGCTCTGAACCTGCCCCATGAGATTCCCAACCAGTTTAGCCCTCCTCTTCCAGCATACGTGAACTACATGCCTCCCCGACCTACTTCCATCCCAACATGCTGCTGCATCTCCCTCTGCTTTCACAACAGCTCACTGAGAGAATGAGAAACAGGCCCTTGAAGGAGGCTCGGGTTCACCCTTTCTCTGCTGAGCCTGTGGAGCCCTCCCCGCTCTGTGTGGGTCACCTACTGATCACAATGTGCGGCCCTATCGTGCAGTACACAGGAGGGCATTTATGGTTCACTGGGATTCAAATGAATCTTTATGGGCCTTGTCTAGCAGCCAAAGGGCAGGCACCATCCCAGATTTTACAGCCACTCTCCTGGGTTTGCCTCCAGTTGTTTGCTTGCTTTGACTTGTGCTCACTCAGATGTGGGCCGTCTCTTTATGTGTCTGGATATGTCATCCTCTATATCCCTCCACATCTTTATCACCCCTATTAGTAAAGCAACTTAGCTCTCCAATTACTCCATACTGCATGATCCACAGTAAAGCTACCTGAGAGTGAAGCCTAGACCAGTAAATAACAGCTGCTTACTTCAAACTGCTGGACGAGATATCACAAAACTGACAATGTGTGATAAAAAACATAAAAACACCTTCATGTATGGAGGTCATGCATAACTTCTGAACATGAAATACCTTGCTATCATGTAAAGACTTCATGTGAAAGTGTAAGATGAGACTAGAGTCCAGGTGGGGGTTTAACACAAAGGAGGGCTACTCAGATTGCAAGATAACTTTAAAAAAAAAAAAAAAAGACATGCAACAACTGCTCTTAAAAATGTATCAACCAATAACAGGGATCGAATCATTAACTAGTTGACTCTCATTTTAACCATCAATTTTTAAAACATTAACACTTAAAGTTGTTGGGGGTTTCCAGACTCAGGTTTTTGCAAAGTTTTGGTTTGTGCATGTACAATTTTGAACCAGCAACAGGCTGTGTTCACAAATAATGGATTGTAGATGTAATTCTAAGCCCATGCAGTGACCTCCACTACAGAGCCATGTCTATTTTTAATGCCAACACTGATTTCCTGGCTGCCTCCTTTTTGTACAGAGATCTTTTGACAGTTTTTTCTACTAAAGACGATGAAACCTCAAATTCAAAGCTCAAATTCATTATTCCAAAATTATCAAACTGTTTGCTCACACAGTCACTCACAAGTCCAGTCTTGCTTCTGGGAGACTCAGCCTTTCTTGAATGCCTTCTACCTTGAAAAAGTCCTGTTTCTATTCTGTCAGAAATCAACCAAATTAATGTTACAGAGCTTATATCATGGTTTGTTTTCCCATTACCAACAATATTCAAACATGATACTGGCATTACATTTTTAATAGTAAATCATGAAACAGTAAAGTTTTTCAGTTTCAACATTTAATATGTCAAAGAATTTTATGTTTTGTCAAGGACCGCTTGGACTTTGCTAGAAGGCACCTGAAGGACTCACAGACCAGGAGAAACAAAATTCTCTGGTCTGATGAAATGAAGATCGAACTCTTTGGCCTGAATGCCAAGCGTCATGTCTGGAGGAAACCAGGAACCGCTCACCACCTCGCCAATACCATCCCTACAGTGAAGCATGGTGGTGGCAGCATCATGCTGTGGGGATGTTTTTCAGTGGCAGGAACTGGGAGACTTGTCAGGATCGAGGGAAAAATGAATGCAGCTAAGTACATCGAAATCCTTGATAAAAACCTGCTCCAGAACACTCGAGACCTTCGACTGGGGCGACGCTTCATCTTCCAGCATGATGACAATGACCCTAAGCACACGGCCAAGAAGACAAAGGACAAGTCTCTGAATGTCCTTGAGTGGCCCAGCCAGAGCCCAGACTTGAACCCGATTGAACATCTTTGGAAAGACCCGAAAGTAGCTGTGCACCGACGCTGCCCATCCAACCTCACTGAGCTTGAGAGGATGTGCAAGGAAGAATGGGAAAAACTCCTCAGATCCAGGTGTGCCAAGCTTGTTGCATCATACACACTGGAGGGTGTGCAAGACTGGAGTCTGTAATCGCTGCCAAAGGTGCTTCGACCAAGTATTGAGTAAAGGGTGTGAATACTTATGTATATGCAACATTTGAGTGTCTTATTTTTAATAAATTTGCAAAATGTTCTAAAAAAAAGTTCTCCGCTTTGTCATTATGGAGTATTTTGTGTAGAATTTTTGAGGGAAAAAGGGAATTTAATCCATTTTGGAATAAGGCTGTAACATAAAATGTGGAAAAAGTGAAGTGGTATGAATACTTTCCGGATGCACTGTATAAAGAATGAAATCAGCTGATACTGCTTTGTCCACAGGGGGTGCTCAAGTTCCTGCAAACCATTTATTCCCTCCAGGGTCTTTGAGTCAAACACTTAGTACAAGAGAAATGACAAAACTAATGGCAAACTAAATTCCTGGATCACATCTGAGACCCAAACTCTTTAAGAATTTCAGTCTCAGGAAAACCTCATGGATTGTTACACTTTTCCTTTAAATAATTAAATAAATCAATATTTCATAAGCATTGTGCCAAGTATAAAATAAAAGTTATAGTAGGATGCTTTACAGAGAGTTTTGATTAAAAACCTTCCCTTGAACAGGCAGATCAAGAGTCATGGTGAACCAGCGTCATTCACTGTGACTCAATGCACCACTGCTTCCTTTCTTTAACAGGCCTAAAGTTGTTTATTAAAAACACAAAACAGGAGGAAGGTTTCTTCGTTAGTTTAATTTCTCAAGTATTATGAGTGAAATCCTGCAAAATATTCTGTTTTTCATTTCAGGTTGAGGTGTTGCTCTCAGGACTGCCTGGTCAAACTCCATGTGTTTGTTTTGCAGGACCCAGAGATTACAAAGATTTGCTTCTGTTCAAGTTGTCCCATTTTACTGATGTCCTTTTCAGTGTTTGCTGGACGCTAATACTTAATATCAAGACAGGTTGCTGCACATATTATCTTTTAAATTAAGAGTCTCTGCTTCATGATTAACCCTCTCAGCATGGATGGAAACAGCATGTCCTGCAGAGAAACACAAATTTGTTCTCCGTTGTGTTTTCGCTGAATATTGCTGGTTGCTCTGATCTAAATGTACTCATTACAGTCTTAAGAGGAGCAATCAGAGCATCACGGTGAGCAAACGGGAGGTGAGAACATGAGCTCCTGTTTCAGGTCTGCAGAGAAAGATGACAGTTCAGCGCATTAATCAAAGTGTCTTTTTAATGTGTGAAAGCAAACACTGTTTTAGAGGGTCAGATAACCAACAGCTATTTAATGTGGTGTAAAAGAGATCTGTTAGACAGATGATCTTCTTGCTGAATGCAACATTATACACAGCTGGAATGTTAGGCTATTTGATGCTTCATTTTTCTCCCTTAAATTGTTTTTAATTCAACTGATTAAACTGTTTTTTTTTAATGCAGATTTCCCTTTAATAAAACCAGCCTGTACTGTATATCCAAACACAAAGGAGGTTCAGTGTAAAAACAGGCTAAAATTAAAGTTAAACAGTGCAGCTGAGTGTGGCATTTTCCTTTTTCTAACCACAGCCCTGTGTTTCATTTTAATAAACCTCATTGTGGTCAGATATTTAACCTTCCCTTATCAAACATTTACAAGTTATGATTCTCGCTGCACCATCTGTGATATAAAAGAGGCCACAACCCCTCCTTAACCTCATTAGTTATTATATTGGAGCTCACGATCCCTCGCAGCTTTGCGTCTTTGTGGAGCGATACAACCTGAACTTTCATTTTTTATTCCATACATGGCTCTAAGACTGGTCCTCTTTTGGTGGGTCTCTGCAGCAAGGACACCATTTCACTGATATGTTTTTATCAGGTAAGCAGAGAGAACAGGAGAGCTGGTGCACACTCTGGTCTCTCAGCTGCTTAATGAATAATCGACCTGGTTGTGTAACTGGGAGTTGGATGTGAAAATAATACTTTGGTGTTCTTTAGGAGCTCAGATGCTCCTAATGAATAAGCTGAAACACATCATGCTAGCACTGCACAACAGCAAAGGACCAATACTGGGTTTGCATCAACTGAAGTTGGTGTGCACCTACACAAGTAACACAAATTACTGCAAAATACTTACAATCTGCAGGAGAAGAGGGTGCGTGAATCTTAAAGGTCTTGTGAAGAACTTGTACTTTGCACCAGATGTGACGCTCCCTTTGCTAGTTTATGTTCTTGACTGACTTAAGTAGCATCTTATTGACCTTTCCAGCCCAATGTCTCAGTTGTTGTGAAGATTTTACGTTGAAATTGTAAAAACAGGGGCTGTCTATTTGGTTGCCTAGGTGACACCACCCTCTCACGCCCGATTCAGGCTCACGGTCACACACAAATTTAATTAGTACTGATTTTCTGGATGCAGATTTATCTTCTGAGTTAGAAACACTGTGAGTTTATAAAAGTGATCCTTTTTGCTGTTTGCCACCAGAAAACTGGAGAAAGAAGAAGCTTCAGCGGTTGTTAGCTTTCTAACAGATGATCAGGGGCATCTAAATAAACAACCCCTAACATTTATTACGATTCGAAAAACAACTTAAAGGCTTGTGCTTTTTCTGAGACACAAATAAATCAATAATAAATACTGTCAAACTGTTGTTCTAACTATTTCCTTTTAGACTTAAGATCTATTAGAAACCTAGACTTCAAAATAAAAACATGATATTACCATGTAAAATAAAAGATGTCAAAATAAAAGCTTATAATGAGACGTTTTAGTTACAGGGCTGCTGATTTGGATAAATTATCATTAGACATGGATGATGATATGTTAATAGAATTTATTAGTAGTGTTTATAGAGTAATCCAGTTCTTGCTTTTCCTGAATTCGACAGTGTTGTTATAGTTTCAAGTCTTCTTTGAATAATCATAATAATATCTTAATTGTGATATTTTATAGCATGATAGTTGTTGTGTGAAATTGTTGGTCGGCTGTTCCTCAAAATATCCGGATAAATCCATTAGAAGCACATTCCTGCTGATGAGTTCATTTGGTTTTGGAGGATTACACCATCCCCCCCTGTACCATTTTGTGACAGCAGAGAACAAACAATAACACAATTATGCCCCCCCCACCCCGAGCGTGTGTTTTATGTTTTGACAACATCGTCTGTCACAGCCACTGATCTCATGCTCCGAGAAAATCAAAGGTGTTTCACACCGCCGTGGGAGTCAAAACCCAGACACCAAACAATGTCTGCCTCCCAAGTGTTCACTTTTTCTGATTCATCATGCACAAAGACACACGGCGTGTCTCTAAAACTCCATTTATTATCTGGTTTGGATTCAAAAACAAGTTAAAAGGAGAATAAAAAAATAAGTGTAAAAACTGACTAAAACAAGTGTCACATAAAAGTCCTAGAATAACTACAGGTTCAGATCTATTCATGGCTTCAGTTCAGAGTGAGAATGGCATTCAGTCCTTCATACTATACACATACGCCTGCACACATGCATACAAAAGGGACCAAAGTGTGTCCTGCAGTTTATCCATTAACTCTATCTGCAGGAGGAACCACCCTGCAAGTCCCTCTAAGTGTTTGTCCTCACAGTGGCATGGGGCCTCCTCCACCTCCACGAGTCTTAAGGTCCATATTCCCTTCATTTCACCCAAGAGTTGCTCAGGTCGCTCACATTACATGCTGAGTCCAGGTTCATGTCCTCCCTTTGAACGTGTTCATGCAGGTATAACTCCCAGAAAACTTGTGGATTTCTTCAAGTGCAACTTGTGGCATGAAACTGAAAAGTACAAAAAGACCACAGAAGGAAAGATCAGCATAGAGCAGTTCTGCTGATGAAAACCAAAAGCCAGACACATGATTTTGTTTTACCTTTTTAGGATGACAAGAGCATGCATGGTCCAGGGCAGGTAGAGGAAAGCTTTGTTGGCTCGGACAGCATCAACGGTCCTCTGGGCAACCACCTCGGGTTTGAGAGGAGGGAAGAGCTGCGGGAACCTGAGAAAGAAAAGAGTACTTTTGAGATGAATGATAAAATGCATCCTCAAAGTGCATTAGTATGAGAGTTTTAAAAGCAAAATCTGGTTGTATTCACACATGCGCAGAAAAAGCTCCCTAAAATTTCAGCATAAACGCAGAGAGCCTATATTTTTACCCAACAAGTCCAATTCCAGCTGCAAAAACTCGATATTTGGATAACAGGTAAATTGACTGTTTTCCATCCAACAGACTCCACTCTGTGCAGGACGTGTAAAAACAAGCAGCTTTGGAAAACTTTGGGAGCAGGGTGCTTGGAAAGTCCAAGAAAATTCCATGAGTGAATGTGTAAGAGAGTAGAGCCAACTTTACCTGGCTGGAAATGCTTCTTTTGGCAGCATAGCAACACTTTTTATCCAAACGGGCAGTTTAAGCTTTGGCATGAGATAAAAGACTCAGTCTACTGGGATACCTTCACAAGAACATTATCTGCTATGAATTCAAACAACCCTGCAGGTTTAAGCACTTAAAGAAAGCCCCAGAGCGTCAAAGTCGACTTGTATGCAGATCATACTCATGCAACTTATTTTCAGTGAGATACTTCAAAGTCTTCCATTTTTTGCTAGCATGCTCCAGAGTAAAAACATATGAGGTCAAGCATCCTTACATACCTGACTCTCATGCCCTGGAACATCTCTGTATTGGTGTGGAAAGGCAGCACAGTGGTGCAGCTGACACCGGGACAGTCCAGCAGGCCAAGCGTCAAACTCTCCATGAAGGCCAGTGAGGAGGCCTTGGAGGTGCAGTAGTCTATGGCTCCAGGGATGGGGGACTGGGACAGGATGGAGTTTATGCAAACCACATGGCCATGTTGAAGCTCCAGCATCCGAGGAAGGAAGGCTTTTGTAGTCTGGGATGGAGACGAGACAAAATAGGAGAATAAAGACAAGGTGGTAATAGAAGGTGAGTTATATTCAGCAGAGTAAAAAGGAGAACAGAAAAGAGGAACAGGCCCGTAGTGTAACCACAGATTAAATTTCCATTTCCATTTAGTTGATAATTGCATTTCTGTCTGCATACAGCACCGTCTTTTCATCTCTATTCAAAATAAAAATGCCCCAAGTTTCAAAGCCCCCTATGATGTTTCAGGAGCTGAGGGAAGATGTGGAAATACCCCACTTAACCTGCCGTAATAGCGACTGTGATTGACAAGCCTGCATCTGCCTGCAGTAAACGCTGCCGTTCCATAATCAGGGGAGGAAAATGATAAGGGTAATCTGCTCAAAGGAATTCCCCTCCTCTTGCCTGAAAACTGCCCCTGCTTCAGTTTCTTCGAGTCTTACCCAAAACTGTCCCATCGTGTTGATGTGCTGGGATTTCAGGAGGGCATCATCGTCGCTGTCCATCAAACTTTTGCCGTGGACCACAGCGGCATTGTTCACTAATATCGTAACATCTCCAACCTGGAATGAAAAAGGAGAGATCTAGTCTGACACAGCTATACTCTCTGCTGTTGTTTCAGATGGAGCGTAAACTATACACCAGATGGGAGGCAGAGCTGCTTAGAGCCAATGTACTATACAAAGGCATCTTAGAAATATGTTGTGCAATGTTCCACTCTCTGCAAATGAGAAGAAATAAAGTGCTTGTTTACCTTTTCTCTAACAACCTTGGCCTGCTTGTAAACCTCCTCCCGATTGGCCACATCACAGAGGAAGTAATGACACTCTGTTCCTGAGAGAGAGATCTCCTCAGCTGTTTCCTTCAGGCATTTCTCTGTCCTTCCACACAAGATTACCTATCAAAATAAGAGTGTTTTTAAAAGGTTAGAAAGAAATCGACAAAGAACCTGTGCTAAAACTGTTCCAAGAGGTCTAAAAAAAGAAAATAAGAGTTGTTTTGCAGTCATTCCTGGACAAAACATCATGTTTGTTTAGCGCAATATTTCTGGAAAAGAGGTCGGGTGTAACTCTGGAGGTCTTGGGCAGTGACGCTCTTTTCATTCAGAGAACAGAGAGGCCATTTTCACTTCAACAAATAGTTCTCCAGCAAGATTAAAGGCTTGGGGGTTGCTGTGTGAATGAACTGTCTCTTCATCCACCCAGAGACTAAATGAAGGCTGGTCATTTGAGCAGGGAACATGAGGTTGGATTGAGGCGGGTGGAGGGGGTTGGGGTTGAGGAGGGACTAGTGATTGGGCAATTAGATCTGTCAGTCTTTGGGGTCAAGGAAAGGTAATGAAATCAGGGGGTGAGCCCTCCTCATCTCTCAGACACAAATTCTCAAAGAGATTACACGGCCTGTTGGGCAGATGAGCCCCGTCATTTCTGGTCAGGGAGTCTGAAAACAGTGAGTGTGTGAAGTGCTGAGGACGCCAGTGTGGGATTTGGCCACTCGCCCGTGACCAAGGTTAATATTTGAGCAAAAAGTCTTGTGGAAAGTGATATTGTGTACGTGAGAGGAAGAAATACAGAGTGTGTGCAGGCTTACGCATGCAAAAGAGAGCGTGTTTCTAACCACTTGCAAGGGTTTGATTGCTTCACATGGCGTCCTTTTGCTGGGATTGAACCCGTCTACGTGCCATAACGAAGGACTTTTAAACAGTGCCAGTGTTTTAAAAATATTACCAAGCCTTTTTCTGGAGCCAAACATTGCAAACTGCCAATGACAAGAGTGTTAATTTGCACAGTCACAACCCTTAAAAATCCCCACATGACTGTGTGGCTTTGCAGAGTAGTGGTGTCAGAAGCAAACCAAACATGGAAACACTGACACTTAAAAGCTCCAGGGACGCCACTGATTGCAGTCTGGAATCTGTCCTTTATTTCTTTATCAGTTCTGAAGCAATAAGGGTTTGGCTCAGTCTGTGAACCGCCCTTGTTTGAGTTGCCTTTGATTGGGTTCTCTGTTTGCTTCATTTGCAGGCCCGTTTAGGTAATCAGTAAAGGCAGACAGGTCTTGATAAATAAGCAAAGGCTTTTAATAGGATTTGAGCCTTACAAACAAAGCTGACAGCTCTCATTAAAAGTCAGCACTCTAACCATGCTCTCCTGCTTAAATGTTATTTAATTCATTAGGTTTATCACCCGCTACAACACACGGGACCCTCAGAATAAACAAGCATGGGCCAAATTGCTATCTAAAAAGAAACAGTAAGAAACAGTTTTTAATTGGCCCTGCACAAGCCGCCTTCACTATCAGAGATAAACCATCGATTGTTTGAACCGGGCATGTCAAATGAGACTTACAGTGAAGCATGTGCTGCATGTAGAAGCACTCCTTTACTACTGCAAAGCTTACACTGAGGAGAGAGGCTGCAGATGGCGTTTATTTACTGACTGTGGTTAACTGCTGTAGTCGTGTTTTTCCTTGGACGCCTTCTTCATCCGGTGTTTTTGAATTTGGAAGAAGGATCCTCAAATAAAATCTGTTTTACTTCTTAAAAAGATTCATGCACTTAACCAGATGGTTACAACTACTACAGCAAATACAAAGTTGGGACCAAGCCTGTCAACTTGGCAAGTTTCTAAGTTGATTATTTTCCAGGAGATCAGTCAGATTTAAAGTGAAGGCAGGATTAATGCTTCATCTCCACTTGTGTATGTGCAAAGTGGTTGTAAATCCATAAATCCCAGAGTTTTGCAGGCATTCTGATATCAGACATTCACAGTGGAATGAATGGATTTGGTTAACTTGCATTTGTGCACATAAGTGGAATCCTGGGTTATATTTTAACGCCAACTCTGCATAGCTACTACACCTAAAAGCTGGTTGGTGGTGTGATCTCTGTGCATCCTATATCACCGGTAACACTGCTCGTTTGTGCACAAGAAACCATGGTGACTCAGAGCTTATTTTTAGAGCTGAAGCCAGTAAATGTTGAGCAGCAGCTGATCATATTGCATTAAAGGCTGTTTTATGGGCAATGCACCAGATATGGTAAATGGAGGAAATATAATGCCACCCAGTGGACCAGTCACAGGGCTTATAGTCTGTATTGCTTCAATGAGGGGTTGCATCTTTGAGCAGGTGCCCACGAGGCTATGTGCACAGGCTGCTGCAGAAAAATGTACAGAACCTTTGGGCAGGGGGTGTTTTACATGTGCGTTAAATCCCTGAAAATTTCCCCAAATATCTTTAGTGAGCTGCATGTGTAAAAGCAAATAACACATTCAAGTACACAAAATTAACAAATTAATACCAACTTTGTAGGTAGTCTTCACGTGTCTTTTTTCCCCATAGCAGGCAAGAGAGATTAAGAGAGATAATGCTATAGTTTATGTCACCGCTGATTTCCTCAGACTTTTTCCTGCCAGCCCCCCCAAAAAATCTCCACAAGAAGTAGAGGTGTGGTGGAGCCAACGCGAACACAGCAGGTAAAGTCAGGAACATTCATCACTCAGCTGGTGCAAACTTGAAGTCTAACAGACGAACACGGCATTGATATTCTTTCCTATGCTTTTCCACACAGCATCAGACTCCGCCTGCTGTCTTAGAAAGCATGCAAACATTGCAGGTAGACTACCACAGCCTCCTTTCTCCCTGATACACTGTGGCGGTCCTACATGAACAGACAGCACCTGAAAATTTCTGGACATTTTCAGGTGTGCATGTGTAAAAGAGGCTCTAAGCACTCCAGCTGAATTCCTGTGATACTCCATCTCCAGGGTCTGGATGTATGGGTGGGTTTGAACCCTCCTTTTCACACCCATTGTATGGGCCAGCAGAGAGGCGGCACACAGGGGGGGCAGCAGGAGTTCAGGAGGCAGTCGCCTGTCGCTGTCTAATTACTGCGGAGACAGCAAGGTCAGTTGCAGGGCAATACCCAGCTGGGAGCGGTGTGCTTCCCGCCTCCAGCACAACACGCACACCCACAGAAAACCTGTTGTCAGTGCCTCCCCGCTTTGCTTCATCTCCCTTGCAGTGGTCCCCTTATGTAATCTTAACAACCACATAAAAATCAATGTTTTCAGCAAACACTTTCTTCTGGAGTTGTTTCCATGGCACTGAGATATTCTATAAAAGGAGCTTTGAAGAAGAATGCTGCTCTAACTCGTGAGCTATTTACTGGGATTGTTCTGAAAGACCTCTCGCTGGGCTCTGAACTTGGATGCTGTTTTTGAAAACACATTGCTCTGGTTTATTGTTTCTGAGCTTCGTTCTGCAACACTTCCCCCTCTAACTGCACACAAGAAGACCTGGCACCCCTCCTGAGTCCCCGGCTTCCAATCTCGCCGGATTCTTTCATCAGTGCTGTAGTTAGCCTTCCTCACACCGTGAAAACACTAAAGCCCGAGCAGGGGGAAAAGGAAATTCCGGCTGCCAATCACAAAGGGGCTCAAACAGGGGTGAGCGCCAGTTCGTAGAGGTTACTCCCATTCATAATTACAGCCCTGTATCCTTTTAGCATCTCTTTAGGCAGGGAGTAATTGTCATACGCATTAGCCCAGGTGTTGTTTTCAGAGCCTTCACACCTTCATAATACCCAACAATGAGGTGCTGAAAAGCATGGTGACATCCTTTGTTGTGCAGCTGCAGAGTAAAGCTCTTAAAACCCTCCGGTTTCTTCTCGCTCTTTCCCCCAAGGAGATGACATTGAAAGACAGAGGGGGGCAGTTAGTGTTTCACTGAGCTTTTAGCAATGTTTTCAAGCTGCTAAAATTGCGCCTAGAGAGCATCACAGACGTGAAGCCCGTGTCACACATGTAGGGATAATTATAACAGCTTTCAACTGGGCTGCTCTAAGCTTTCTAGCAGGGATATTACTACCTTACTCTTCCATGTGTAATGATGAGTCCCATCTGAGGTGATCAAAAATCGAGCTGCTGTGCATTAGCACATTACGGCTAAAAGGGACGCCGGTGGCTCATCAGGCACTCAGCTGTGTAATGCGCACCCACTGCATTGGTAGACAAACCGTAGCTTGAAATGATGATGGAAACAGAGGCCGACCCGCAGCGAGGGGGAACTGTCGGTGCAGCAACTGAAGCAGTGCAGACCCCAGTGACGGTGGCTTGTTAAGGGGGTGAGGGATGGTTGAGGTGGCGGTGGTGGGAGGGGCATGGTTTGAAGGGTGGGTAGGGGGATTTTCAGGAATAGGCAGGACAGAATGAGTCGCTTTTAGGCCGATTTCAAGTGAGCAGATTGATTTACATTGACAATTTGTTTTTTTGCACCGCTTCGATGTAATGTATGTAATGTATGTTCTGATGCTATCCCTGCCACAGACCGCAGCATTCCACGTATGCATATGGAAGGGCAGGAAGCTCTCAGAACAGAGGTATAGCCCACTGCCAAATATCTTATTGCATGAAAATTATTTCATTCTCATTTTATGAAAGGAATCCCAACTGAATTATATTTCGAATATTGAGATCATGATTATTAAACATGATTCCCCACGAATTCAACAGTTTATCACAAATATTCCCTGAACTATAACTTACTTTTATCACTTAATCATTGTACCCTCTGAAATTAAAGAAGAAAAACAGGTTATACTTTTTTTTTTTTTACCCAGTCTGCCATTACTTGCTTTTCAAACTAACCAGGTTAATACACTTATGCTCCTTCCATCCCTCTGCTTTACTAACACACATTTGCCCCATCAATGGTCTCAACTGGCAGTCCAACAAATGCTACTTTACACTCAAAAACTTAGTTGCACATCCATCTGAGCCTCTGGCGATGCCATAATAAAGCTTACAAATTGATGTGTGTGTGTGCGTGTGTGTGTGTGTGGGGGGGGGGTACCTTATTGATTTATTGCTATACACACAAGTTTTGTTGTATTTTCATGCATTGACAATAAGGTTTCTATCTCATATTGCTGATTTTTATTTGCTGATATTGTTGTATTTTTGTCACTGCAGTTGTCTAGTTTTCCATAATTTAGTTCCCTTTTTGTCAACACCTCCTCAAACTTTCACTTTCTGCTGTTTTTATTCTGTTTCTGCTGTGAAATTCTCCCAAGGCTGCATATTTGTATGATTCATGCAACACGAATTGAGTTGAGTTCAGTTGAGTTGAGTTACTTTTATGATCTATAGGACAGGGTGTTACACAGTTGAATATGCTCCAGACAGCAATAAAACCCAGAGTAACTGCATGAAGAGTTCACATCAACACCCATGTGGAGAAAAATGATGAAATACAACTTCAACTTCATAGTAAACAAGACTGTTCATTGTATTCCTGACACTTACCCTCTCATAGAGGCTGTTCTCCTTTTACTGTTTTCTTCAGAGCCATCATTGAGTTATTAGACTAACGCAAGATAATGCAATGCAATTTATTCTTTCCAAGTTCTGTTTGTAGTTCATTTATTTTTGCACATGCAGCCATAGAAGCATCCCACATCCTCTAGTTTCTGTGAAAACAAAACCCAATCTGGCTTCAATTAAAGCATTAAGGAGCCTTTGTTTGTGTTTTGATATATTGGCAACATTTAAAGCAGAACAGAGACTGGTCACAAAATAGCCTGACCTTCTAATGTGGCAATAGCAGAGCTGTGATTATATGGGTTGCTTTGAATGGTTAGGAGCACATGTCCCCACCTTTTCAAAATACAACTACACTAATGTAAAACAATGAATTACATATCTTTTCTGCAGTTCGATCAATAACACATTGTTTGGACGTGTCAGTCAAGCCAGCATCACCGCAGACCCAACCAGAATGAAAGTAAGCCCACTGCAGCTCTTAATCACTTCAATCAGGCGTCCAGGCAGTGCAGACCTGCCCTCATGCTGACCCAGGGATGTTGTGCAATACTTGAACCAAAATTAAGGGCAGTGCCTCCAGTCTCAGAGGACCAACTAGGCTTGTGAGAGGTTATGATCCCTGCTTTCACAGAACAGTGGAACAACAATACACCTGGGACAGGGTGGACAAGACTACTGGGAGGAGGGGGTGGGGGGTAGAGTGAAGCTTATTCATAGTTCAACTGCTAGGCATGAACTACAACTACAACTACAGTATACCCTTTTAAAACCCAAATAATAGCGTCTACACTAAATTAACTTACACATTATTCCATTTAAGATCAACCTGCTCATTATTTCTACCAGTAAATGTAAGTGCAATTTAATTACAGTTTCAAAAAGTTTAGAAAATTAGCTTAACACTCTGCCAGGGAATCCAGATTTATGTCTCTCTCGTCCGTTTCGCTGTTTAAAGTGTTAAAAATCGGCATTTTGGATGAGCTGGTAATTAACAAAGCAAGGTGTCCAAACGCCAATCTAAAGTTTGATATCAACACTCGAATAATCGCTACATGATTTATTGACCCTTTGAAATAGTCGAATAATCTTATTTCTGTTCAGTAACCGATCAATCATTAGCGTAACCCCGTCTAATTTCTTTGTTCGGAGGGAGAAACGTGTGTGCAACAGGTTGTCTGTGAATGAAATTACCTTTCTGGCCCCCTGCTTGGCGAACTCTTTGGCCAGGTGACGCCCGATGCCTCGTCCCCCTCCGGTGATCAACACCACCTCCCTGGTGAGGTCCTTCCTTCTACCGGGCAACAGCAATGACAAACTTGCCCTGACGATATAAAAAAGCATTTGCACAGGGAAAAGAAACATACGACAGGCGCTTTTCAACTCCATCTCGGGAAGTGCTCACGCGTTCACGACAACTGTACTGTTTACGCTGCAGCAAGTTTACTGGAAGCCTCCAAACAGCGACTTATGAGCTCCTGCGAGTCAGTCTGCATGAAAATAAAATCACGTGCACCGTCAGAAAGTAATCCATCGGCGTAAAAATGTTTAAAAAAAGCTGAGTGAGTTCAAGAAGCTCTGACAGGTTAGTCGATATGGATCACGCTCTCAAATGTGAGAGTGATCAGTCATTACGCCTGACAGGTCGCACAAACGTGAAACAAGTCCAGGCGACGCTCCGCTGTGCGCGTTACTGAAACCGCTCAGCTTTGGAGTTGTTGTGTTGCTGTCCCGTTCTGGTCTGCCTTATATATCAGCGCCTCTGCCCCGGCTCCGGTTTTTCAACCAGTGAAAGGACCAGGATGAACCTAAAGAAGCGGTTTGTAAGGGTATTAATCCTGATTGACATGTTAAGTGGGGATGAACATTTAGCTCCACAGTGCCCGTCTGCCCTGAGTGGCTGCGTACTTCCCCCTTCCCCACTCCCTCTCATGTGTCTACAGAGGTGGTTCTCAATCTGTGGTCATGGGCCCCCCAGTGGTCGCTCAAACTGTGTCCCAGGTGGGTGCCCAAATCTTGTTTGGGGTAGGTTTAGTAAAATTCAAATGACCTGAACTTAACCTGGTTGCATAATGTGCAGAATAACAAAGGTGTTGCAATCCCAGGTTTCACTGAAAGATAAAGGTAATAATGCAAAACAACCAAACTAATCTTACATACGACTGTCAGAGGGGTTTGGAAGTTTATTGGGACCAGAAATATGCAATAAATTAACCAAAAATAGAAAAAAAAATGAGACAAGAAAGGTTTTTTATTTTAATTAAAAAAAAAAAAAAAAAAAAAGACAATTGCTAAAACGAAAGTCCAAAAGTTGAGAATCCACCATATTCACAGAGCAACTCTATCACTGCGACAAAATGTAGATCATGAGCTGTTCAGGCAGATTACTGTTGTTAAAAGGCTAATGTAATGTAATGAGTTTCTGGTTGCATATTGGGCAGATGTCCAATTTCATTTTCACTCTAATCAGTCAATCTACAGATGCTTGAGATAGATATTAAACATCCAGAAATATACTACACCAACTTTCAAAGTAAAGCTGAACTTTTCTAGAGACATTAGCAAGCATTTGATGACTTCTAATATTCGGGCTTAACCACCTTATTTGATACACTATTTAAATTGCTAGCTAATCATAATGCTGGCAAGGAACAAGTTGAATGCTAACATAGGCAGTCATCAAATGCTGAGTAATGTCTGGTAAAACAGGCTATTTTATATTAAAATATTACAAACAGTGTTTCCTGATCAACATGGGAACATGAGCTGATAATAATGCAGATGTTAGCTGTAGGCTAAAGTTAGCTTAAGTGTCATCTACATGCTATGTTTCCTGATAGCTGGCATACCATGGCGCCTCTTGGCAGCATTATGATCTAGACAATGTAGACAAAGTTGTATCTCAGGTAAACTGGATCAGAACCGTGTGTAACCATCTCAGGCACATGGACTTCAACTTGTACCCACAGCTGATGGTGCTAGCTAGGCTGAAGGTAGCCACAATCAGCAAACAATGGTAGATAATGAATAATAATGTCCGTTTTCTGGCTATTTTTCCTACCTAACCAGCAGTCGGCTAGCTGGAATTTTAATTTCTGGTTAAATGACTCATCGCTTCAGATCATACCTGGTATAGATTGTCCATTATCCTCTGAGTTTGTGATCATAGCTTTATAGAGAACTTGATGTGGCCTAGATAGAGACACAGCAGTTTGACTTAAACTGCTAATGCTCAACAAATAGTGGTTCATGTTTCCTCATTTTGGTACCTTATAAATCATAATTTTAGGAGAGCTGAAATGGTGTTTTTTGGATTTTTGCAATGTGCTGCAAGAGGTAAAACCTGACTAATTGGAGTCTGCTGTATTTTTTGTATTAGAAATGCAGCTCTAATGTGAGACCGCCGTCCTATTTCTGTTACTTAAATTTTCCTCTGACTAATTTTGGGGCAGACTGAGGGGTTGATTGTATTATCTGACCCTTTCACCCCTCCACAGATGGAGATGTTTGGTGAGTGAGGGCCCTCATTGACTTATCCTTTCTCCTCCCTCCTATTAATTAAGTAAAACAAATAAGCAAACAAACACATAATTTGCTTAGCACTAAAAACAAACACACAGCTGAGAATCCTGACGAGTGAAACCACAACAGTGACCCCCATTCGGATAAGTAACCTAAAAAGTTAGAGGGAGATTGAATGAGGCAGGAATAGTCATGATTATTTTTGATCAGGCTCTCTGTTTGGCTTCAAATCTCATTTTGACAAGTTATTTTGCAGATTTCTGGTCCAAGAGCAGCTTTATACACATGTGAAAGTAAATTCTAGATTATGCCAAACACGTCTTTTGTTCTAAAAGCACAATAGGGTTTATATCCCTCTGAATGTGATGCTGCACAGTCTGTCCCACATTTGTAACGGTCCTCTCTCTGCAAAATCCGCATCCGTTGTCTGAACCCAATTTGTTGTGGAAACGGTATTTTTTTTGAGGGGCACTATATCGTTCTGTGTGTGACAGTGCAATTAGGGAAATAGGTCAGCCCAGTCTCAGACGCTCGGCAGTGTGACAAACAGAAAAAACTGCATGAATACCTCCTAAACAAATCCTGTGAATTCATGGGCCTCAGACAAGATTCCAGTCTGTGATTTTTGGCCCTGGCACTGTGTTTTTTACTGGGTATTGCTGAATGCAGGGCTTTTTTTTTTGAGCAACTGGGATGGGTTTAAAGAGCAGCCTCACAATGGTTGCTTTGTGCAGGGCTCAGCTACTTAGAGAAGGCAGAGAGGCTCTCGGGGGCTGCTTAAAAACACAGAGACAAACACGCCTCCAGATGCTGCTGTCTTCATTTTGGAAAATTTCAGAGATTTGCAAAATGTGAACCCAAAGTCAAGCTGCATCAGAGGCTTGTGCTTAAGCATTCTCAGCTCAAGTGTAATTGAATTAAAATGGGCCGATTTGCAAAAACATCAGAAAAAATACAAAGATTAACGCTACAGTGAGGGTCAAATGGGTTCAAGCTGCGTGCCAAATCCAAAAATGTAAATAGAGTGTATTTCACAGGATGGTGCTCATTCATCCTCATGCTATCACTGCCATCTACAGATCAACAGTGAAAGTTCAGATAAGTGCGAGGAAGCATCCTTGAACATTTCCCTCCAGACACCAGACAATGAAAATGCCATAGCTGAGGGGAGCTGCAGGAAGCTAGAGGAAGCAGATTTAAAGTAAAAAAAAGCACCATCAGATATCAATGAACTCATACCAGGGATTCAAGGCAACATAATGAGCATCATTAAAATGTGAGGGTGATTAAAAGCTGCTCCACACGTACGTCTGCTCTCAGGGAAAGATGTCAACACTTCGACTGCGGAACTATGAAATATATAGAAGAATATAATAATGTTTTCCCAGGCAACAGGCTGCCAAACATGCCATTAAGAGGCAGCAAGGTCAGACTGCATTGCACACAAATGTGGGAGGAGTGGAGAGGAGCCGAGAGCAGGTAGATAAAACATTTACTCCTAATGACTTACCTTCAGCTGGGCACACCAGCAACATCATGGACATGCACTCGGCTATTTTAATAATTGGCTTCGCTGCTCTTGTTGCAGCCTCCCTCCTCCTGGTAATTGGACTTGTGTACTCTGAGCTGATGAATTCAGACATTCCTCTCAGAGTTGCAAATAGTGGGAAACTGCACATGGTTCATAGCTTGTTTGTCTGGGAAGCAATTGTGGTGAGAAAGTGCAGCATCTTTTGAGTTGTTCATGCTTATTATTTTATGTGTTGCATCCATTGCAATTAACCTTTTTTCATCATCAGTTTGGCATTATACATCTCATAAAGGAATCTGCTTGTGCAAGAAATAAAAACAACTCACCTCTTACGTGCCTTTGTCAAAGATGGCCGTCCTTCCTTTGTCCTCCAGTGCTGATAAAGCTTTGATCAGAGACAGTTAAGATAAGATGTAGCAGACAAAGGTACAGGTAAAGGCAAGGTTATGTGTCCCACATCTTTGATGTTGTCATAACAAATATACTTTCTAAAGGGGAATAAATTTGACTCTGACTCTACCTGTCATGAAATATTTATTCATCTTTAACATTTTATCTCCCTCATGGTAAATCTGTGGTTTCTCTCCTGCAAAGACTCCATTGTTTTTGGCTTTTTCCTGCAGCCTGCAAATGACAGAGCTGAAGTTATCTCATGTTGCAAATCAAGTGACCTCCACCTGAGTTAGAAAATACATTCTTGTGAACGATTACGGGTGTTTTTCCCCCCAGAATTCTGAAATAAATTCTAAAATTCAGAGTATTCTCTCAGAATTCTGAGTTGAAAGTAAATTTATTACATTTGCATGATGCTCCATATTCCTATGTTGAGTATCTGCAAACTAAAAACTAGAAAGCAAGGCTGTAAATTGCAATATAAAGACATGGCAAGGCACAGATATTTGAGAAATTAAAACAAAATACATGAAATTCTATCCCTGGATGTGTTTATTGACTCTGACACAAAGATTCAACAACATCTTGCAACAGATTTACGAGAATAGATGGTTTTTAGTTTTTCTACCACGTCATATCTTTTTCTAACTGTGGCGCTCCACTAAGTGTGAACAGATTTTGTTGTCAAAGTCTGTAACCATACTGCCAAAGAGTCTGACACCGCTGTGGTTTCTGTTGGATACTTCAACTTTTTCCAGCTTTCACACAAATACCCCAACATAGTTTTCCCACCCGAAGAGCCAAAATGGAACATATTGTCCCTCCTTCTTCCCTCTCACCCCTCTCAGGTACCAATTAGCCTCTGAGCACAGGTACCCTGCCCAGCTGGATGATTTGGAAACAATGACGTGTCACTTCCTGAATGCGGCTGAGGCCGAGTTCAGCGTGGTCTCTCACAGAGTGGCAGTCGGAGGGGACAGCACCGAGGCTAACCTGGCAGCAGTGCGGCGCCAAAGGCTGGCATGAAGAGAGGAGCGACATCTGCTGTTGCCCTGCACTCAGGTCCTCACCCGCCCAGCCCTGCAGAAGGCAGATTTCAACCTGCCCTCATACCAGCAAAATCATGCTGTGCCCATATTGTTTGGTGGCCGGATGGCGTTCTGCTTCCCTGCAGTACCTCAATGGAGACATTTTTGCTTGCCAAGATGTGTTGGAAGGCTATCGTGTCCCCCGCTGAGCTCAGGCCACACTATGAAAGGTGGATCTCCCCTTCATAGCTGCCTCCTGGGTGCCTCACAAGGGGTTCCTGTGCGCACCAAACCCGAGAATAAAACAGGGAGGTGTACTCGCTATCAAAGCTGTTTCAGAACATTAATTGTTCGAATAATGGGCTCTGCCAGTTTCACCCATAGCCTTTTTGAAGCCTCAATTCTGGTATTTTGGCTGCAGCCATGTTGGTTTTTTGGTGCCAGCAGTGACCATATTTGCACCAGAGAGTGGCCCTGGAGAGGAACACAGAGTCTGCAAACGCCAAATAATCAAAAGCTTTACAGACTGTGACGGTGGTTAAGTCAGATGCCTGTTAATGAGATAGATCGCTCACTGCTTTTCCCACAGACTGAGTCTATTTGTGGCTGTGGCTGACCAAATTTGTTTTATGAAGTGTAGAGTGGACTTACTGCTTGTCCCCATTGGTAGAGCCTGCAGCAGGTAAACGAACCAGATGACTGAAAATCCACCTTCTTGTCATCTCTGCAGGCACAAAGTTGTATGTAAGTAAACAACATTTCTGAGCAGCTGAACCAAATCTAATATCAGGTAACAAGCAAAGTGAGTACAGAGACAAGAAACCTGTTTATTGGTGCTAAAATATCAATAATCCACTAAGTTTTCAGCAATGGGGAACAAACTTCTTGAAGAGTGAAGAAAAAACTCAGCAAACATTTTCTCATCTGCCTAAAAAAATCACCACTTTTTGACTGAACATGCGTGATGTCCTGAATTGGATGAAGTGAGCCTCTACTGCGTTTGTTGGTTTGTTTACAGCACAGGCGTAAATACAACTCTTCTTCTGCAGTTGGTTTAGCGTAATTAGACAACTCTGCGCATGACCAAAAGCTTCTAATATGAATAAAGCTTGGAGCATGTATACGCTCATCATGATTGGATCATTTGACTTTGCGCCTATACAAACAGTGAATTCAGATTTTCTGATCCTTCAAATTTTTAACCGAATCAAGGAATTTTGCACATGTAAATATGGCTTGTGTCCTCTACAGACTGTACTATTGGCTCACTCCTCGAGGCTGCCCCTAGTGGCCACTCAAGCATCTGTCATTTCGCACACGGTTCGTTTAAAACTTGAGGTTTTACAAAAACTAACAAATCCCCCAGTCTCTCAAGAGTCCACCCACCTTCACACTCACTTGTCAGTATCATGCACTGATGGATAATGGGCTCTTTAAAAAAAATGGCTCCTGGACTTGGAAAAGTATGTGATGAAGGGCTCTGACAGCATGTATTACATCCTTATCCATGCTGGCTGTCTTTTCCAGGGCAGAGCAGTTTGTTTAAAGTGTTGCTCACATAATAAAAACACACTTTAGATCATAAATAGGTTTACACAATGCATTGTGTTTTACTTTCCATCTTGTTTTACATTTTAATAAACAGAACTAGCCTCCAGTGGCAGAGTTTTCTTCCTTATTAAAAGTATATTGTTCACACAGGACTAAAAACCCACACAAATCTTAAAACGTAACCTGATTTATTCCAACAGTGAAAAAGTAGCCGGAGGACACAAAAGTCTGAAAACAACTTCTGGCAGCGGTTTAACAATATAGAGTTTAACGCTAAAAGGCAAATGTCAGGCCCTCGCCTCAGAGAAAGTATGTCTTTGTTAGCACAAATGTAAGACAGCTCCCGTTTGGTTCCTGGATTCTCAGCCTGCCTACCCTTTCCGTGTTTGCTGTCTCCATAGCAACAAAGCTTCTCTATTTCCCCCTCTACTGCCTCTGCACTTACAGGGCTAGGTACATGCACCTTCATGTCATCTGTTTGAGAAGCTCACTATGTTCAGATAGATCTTTAGATTGTTTGACACAGAGTAAAGCATGAAGGGAGCAGAAACGGGGAAGGATAAATGGGCCCAGAGCGGCTGGCGGATAGAGCAGAGGTACGGGACCAAGGTGCTGATGGGCAACTGGGCAGAAGACAGACTCCAGGTAGAAAGGAAGTAGCAGGAAAAAGTTTGTTCTGAGCATTATTTTTGGCTACAGGGTGGCTTTTTGCATTCAATTTGCACATGGAGACATAGACTGCTGTGTATTGCTATTGTGCAGTCTTTGCAGAAGTTGGTGTGTCTTAGAAGCAAGTGGTGTGTTTGACAGTGTCAGAAATTACTTGAACTTTAGGACGTATGTGAATACAGCCTTTACATTTCAACTGCAAAGATTCCCAGTAAGTTATACATTGTTGGACTGTTTGGAGAAAACATGAATGGCATGAATGAATTTTTTAATATTTTTTAATATGGTTCTCAAACCACTCTACTGTATCAAAACAGTGCGAGAAATGCATTAGCGAGAGGCTAACAGAATGTCACTTTTACAGCTTTCTGCTGTTTGTGAGGAAAGTCTTGTCTTTTTTAACATCCTGTCGAGGTTTTGTTTACTACCTGCAACCTAGCAACACATCCATGCTGTTCAACCACCAACACTGGGGAACCTTGAAGTAAAAAAAAAACAACTTAAAAAAAAGTTTAAGGACTGTTTCAACATTAGCAAGAAGACATAGCTGCCAAATACAGAACTAAGAATGCTCTTTCCTCTACACACACGCCTGCGATGTTCTTCTTATTCTTCACAATTCTCTTTACAGACTGGTTGCAAAGAAACACCACAAACCAGTCTGGCATACCTGCCTGAACATTTTTAACTTTTTTTTCGGGTTGTTGTTGCCTAGACAGAGAAATGTTCCAAAACATCTCTGGTGGGGTCAGGAATTCTTGTAAACATAGGCAAATCACATTTTTAAGAAATATATGTATGGATATAGTATAATACAGCCAAACAAACACTGCAGTTATAAGACTTGCTTAAAGTCTCCTGCCTTCTTTAATTTAACTCGATGCCACTAACTTCGCCGGAAAACTCTGAACAAAGGCTATTTCAGTGTGTGTGATGCATTACTTTGTCTTCATCTGACCCGTTGGCAGCAGTGACAGGCTGTAAAAATAACTTCAAAGATACATTCAGTCCTCCGTCTGATGGTCTGTAATGCTTTTGTATGTCATATAAAGGCTCCAGCATCATATTGAGTCTGTTTTAAAACCGGTTAAAAGTCTTCAAAGTTCATTTCAGCACACAATTTTAATTGATTGTGAGAACACAGACAGTCCAGGCCTTAATATTCAGCGGACTTGAAACATAATACCACACCAGTGGCAGCTTGCCAAGGGTTTTGTAGCGCCTCAGCTGGTAGTCAAATCTATAGCAGAGTGATTAGGCAGGCTGAGTTCAGCCACATCAGCACAGCCTCCTGCTGGGAGAGGCTCGAGCTGAAGACTAATTGCATTGACGTGAGGTGCAGCCAAGGGCTGCTGGTTCAGGATCTGAGGGGAGAAATGACTGAAGAAATACTGTACAACAGAGCCGATCGATAGTGAAGTGTGAGCTTTGCTGATCCTTAGCGCTGAGCTCATTGCTCAAGTCCCTGTATACCCTCACTCCTCTTCTTTACTCCTCACTGCCATGTCTGTTTTTTCTGCTCGACACAGTTCACTCAGAAGCCAGAGATAGCCAACAGCACCAGTCGTGTAGACTACCGGCCCCACTGGGACTTCAAGCCAGACGTCTCAGAGAGAGGATCTGCCCTGCTGAGAGCTGAGGTCAGCCGGTAACTGCTCATTCATGGCATTAACACCAATTGAATGCCTGTCACAGGCCTGCAAGTCAGGGCTTTCTCCTGCGGATCTAGGCCACTTCTGCATAATATTGACAGTAGAGATAAGGACTTGTGATAAAACTCTTTATGAAGCAAGTTTCTGGTTGCACTCAGCAGTCATGAAAAATGTGTAAAATCATCACTCCTACCGGGCACTTAAAGGCTAGTTAAAGCAATTTGCTGCTGTCACATGGTGAGCCTTTGAAGATTATTGTAAAAGAGTAGGTCGTGCCCTCTATATCTTAATCCACTCAAGGCCAGTACATACAGGCGGCGCTGAGACTTCTGTATTGTCTTTTAGGGGATCCCGTTCAAGCTGCTTTTTGCCCACCATAGCCCGCCACCCTCTCATTACTCGGTCACGCAGTATGAGGAGAGCTATGGGCAGAGGCGCAACAATGCTTTGCCCACTCCACGACCCTGCCATCCCAGCAGCTTGGTGTGGCAGCTTGAAAGGTCTGAGCGGCCAATATGTGGTAAGGCACAGCAAGACGTCGCAGCTTTATTTATACAACACGCTTCAAACACTCAGAGGGAACTCAAAGTGCTCTACATGTGCAGAGAGACTTTTGAATGCAATTTTAGACGACGAGCGAAAGAACCAATTCAGATGGTGCAGATTATATTGCAGTTACGTGTCGTGTATAGGCTCGTATACATCCACAGAAAAAAATAAAACTGAATCCATCACAGCAGCTGCAAAAGACTTTCATTTTGTGTCGATTTTGGCCACTTCTGTGGACCACACAGCACGCCTTTTTGATCTCAACTTCATTCCTAAACGTTTGACAAAGTCATTTCATATCCAGATAAAACCCTGAGCTGTGTATCTTCTCAAGGCACAGATAGTTTGTGGTTGAAGTTAAAGTTTTCAAACTTCTTGCTCCCTTGAATAAATATCCCTGGGAGGATGTAACAGGAGCTGCTCAGCCCTTGAAATAAGTTTTCTGCTCGCCTTTCATGAAACTAGACAAATGACATTAAATTTGAGACATGAGAACCCAGACAATTGAATTTCCTCTTGGGGATAAACAAAGTTCTTCTTATTTTAATGATCATTACAGGGCGTCCAAGGCTAGATGTAGTCTAAATAATAAAATATAGACCTAGTTAATGCTTGAATATCTTTTTTCTGAATCTGTTGGTTCAAATCCTGCAAACAGTTTGTTCAAAAGAAAAAAGGATTACAAAGCTGGCCTTTATCTTGGTTTTTGTCCTGATGAAACTAAGAGGATTCAGGCTGGATTATAGAAATAAAATGTAACAGAAACTTTTAAACAAACAAAACAGCAGTTTTACACTGCAATTGCTCAAGGCATTCATTTTTGAATGATTTAAAAAGACATTCAGATTGAGGATAATGTTGTATCACAATGTTAAAATATTTTATCGAATAGCTGTCAATATCAATCATGAAATATTTAATTTAAACTCGTGGTGGGTTTCTCTCAATTTCCATGGATTTTAGCGCCCCCTGTGGACGAATTATGACTCATTGAGAGCAGTGGTTGGGAATCGTTTTGAGTCTCAATCCCCCTAGAAAAATATTATTGATCAGTGTTATTCTGCCTCCATATAGCTATTAAGCTAATGTAAGGATATCATCATGGCACCAGTCAGGGCCATCATCCCAGCAAAAATCCTGTCAGTCTGAAACATCACTAAATCAAACTTTGTGACTGGTATGAGTAAAACAATTACCCAATAAACAACATCTAATATTTTAGGTCGCTTCAATTCACAAGCAACCTGCAACTTCCAGGAATTAATCTTTGTGCTCCTGTAGGGTCAGGACCCCGAGGTTACAAATCAGTTAGTCTGTATGTATTGTATTAAAACCTGGACTTTTGTAGACATGTCAGTTAGACTGAAATTATACTAATCACAGTTGGGGTAACAAATCTTGATAATGCAGCTGGGGATCAGTTTTCTGGTCCATGTATATGGCTTGATCTGACCTGAGCATTCTTCTCATGCTCAAGAGTTTGCACACCAGGCTTTGGTCCAAAAGTTTAACAGCGTTGCAAGGAAGCCTGGTTGTAAACAAAACCAAATGAAGAAAGAGATGATGAAAGCTGAAACAAATGAAGGCAGGGTATGAGAAAAGAGAAAACTGTTGTATCCTTCCAACAAAAGGCACAGAGTTGTAAAAATGACAGAATCTTGCTTGTTTGGTTGATTGTTTTGTTCTCCCACTAAATCAATTCTTGCACCATGCTTAAAAACTGTGACAAAGAGAGTAGTCCAGTTATTTCACCGAATGGAGCTCTAACCTTAGCTTGACTTAGTTAAACAGCTTCCCCTCTTCAAAAGAAAAAAAAAAAAATTCAGGTAATCTGGACTTGACTCAAATTCAACTTGAGAGCCCCAAACTTGACCCAGACTGGAGGTTTGGACTACAACCCTGGCTGAAGCTCATATCAGAGTCTATTAAAAGATTTCTAACTGGAAGTTTGTTTTTATGGCTCTGAAATCAAGCTGAGCAGTAACTTTTATTCTCTCCTCCTTCCAGCCAATTGCAATGAATTAAATCAGAGTGTAAGACCACAGTTTAAATGCCATGCCACCGCTGCCTGGAGGTGCAGATTATACAGGAAAATGATATATTTATCCATCCAGGCACCGGCACTGTGAGTGTGCAGCAAACACACTTAAGCGAATTAAATTTTGCATGGAGCAGACACATCAGCAGTTGTGCTCATGAACAATTAAATCTGTGTGGCCCCAGATGCCTTTCCTTGTTCCAGATCAGTCACCAGTGTAATTAATGGCTGCAGTAACATGGCAGTTAACTTTCTCCTCCCTGCGTTCATTCACAGCCAACTCTGCCGCGCTGCAGTCCACAAAGCAGCATTTGGAAAAGCAGCAGTCACGCCTCCCGTCGCTGACAGTGTACAGGTCAGCATACCAGAAGCACCCACTTAGTGCTGTCTGCCAGAGCCGCTCTGCCAGGGCTTCACGTGGGCTCTCCAGCCACCTTCATGCGGCCAATCACAACAACAAGGACCTGGATCTGAGGCGGCGTCCACTGCTGCAGGTTCCAGATCCTAGTTTCAGTCAAAATCCACAATCACAACAGGTTTACAGACGGCACTGTTGCTACTGAATCTGAATCTGTGAGCTGTTTCTGGTTGACTTTAGGAACTGATTTCCTTTCTAACTATTTTCTATCCTATTTATGTGACCCAACCCACCTTTTAATCACAGTTATGAAAAAATAAAAGGTGTTGTTCTTGAAATACTGCATATTTTTTATTGAAGTAGTCATTGCAACATTGCTTGACATGTTTCTGAACAAGCATGGACTATTAAAACGTACCAGAATTTGCAGAGCGAAAAGGATATCTACCAAATTGAAGAAAACAGATATAAAGTAAAGACATACAACAACATGGTATAAGCTGTGTTTACTTTCTGCATCTGTTACGAACTCCAGCAGGAAAAAATGCTAAAGTGAGAACTTGAGTATTTTTTTAAAGGCACTGTAAGGAGTTTTTGATAAGATGAGAAACAGACTGAAACCAATCCTGATGCCTCTACACAACCTCCAAGAACAAAAAAGATAGCTATAAGACTGATATTTCTCTGTTGAAATGTTTAATGTCTGAAACTGCTGTGAGGGGGTAGCTGTCAGGAGGTGATCATTAGCAGTCCGAAAAAACTTTTTTTTTTTTTTTTAAACTTTATCCATGGCACATACTTGCAGTTAGTAATGTGTTAAACTGTTTAAAGACAACAGGATCAGGGTTTTTGTCCAAAATCATTACTTTCACATGCTCAGGACCAGAGAGAAGAGGCAGACCTCTATCCACAGGGGGCGCAAGACCCCAAACCAAAAATTTCTCATTGCATCTATAAAGGGATCTGTAAAAGTAAAACAGAGCAGTTTTCAGACTTTACATTGATATTTTAATTTTAAAGTAATTTTGGTGATTTGTTGAATTTACCACCCCCTGTGAACAAAGATGTACTTTTGATAACTTTGCTGATCTCCTCTGCATGCCAGCACTTAATTTTTGACAAATAATCCTGGCCTGCATATCATTTAATGTGAATTTGTTTTCTTCAGTGCACTTTAATTTTCTGGTCTGACACCTACCCCCTAACAGCTATTTCCAGCACTAAATATTACAGTATGGAGTTTGTTGATTTTGTTGCTATTGTTCAAGAGATTTTGTCGGCCATAAAAGGCATCAGTTTTTAATTTTAGTCTGTTTCACAACTGTATGAAAACTCCACAGAGGAGCTTTAAATGTGACTCTCATCTAACCACGGCATTGTGAAATGTCATATTTGGAGCTATCTGATCCAAGATGGGAAATAATGAATTTTCTGATATGGCTGAATGTATTAAAAATATTTCGACATATTTATATATTTATTTAACACGTACATAACAATTTGACATATCTAATTGGACTTTTAATGAGGGAAATTCCATTTAGGTATAAAGCATATTAATAAAGCTCAATATGCTCCAGTTATAATCCAGATTCTAGGGTTTTGGTGCAGTGTTACCTTCAGTGACAATGTTTGGTTTGATTGATAAGCTGAGTTGATAAAGCCAGAAAAGCACAAGTTACCATCAAACTGCAGGACTATGTTTTTGCTGAATAAATTAATCATCTACATTACATATAATACTTACAATCAACTTTTTAATTTTGTTTTCTTAGTTGGGAGCTGGGTAACAAGAAGGAAAATTATAGTAATCCAGCAGTAATGTGAAATAAGCCCCCATAGCTTGGACTGGGCTATATCATATTATCCCTATTAAAATGTCAAATTATAATAACTGGTCTGTCTTCAGGTCTAAAATCAATCCCTTTCATGTCAATACATATCAGTGACAGCTCAAAATATTGCTTAATTTGACTTGATAAAATCCCAGAGTTTGAGATTTTTGATGCTCAACCTTCATGCTGGTATTTAACAGAGATTTTTTGTGTGTCTCCTTTAAAAATTTCTGAAAAAAAAAAAAAAAAGTTAAAACATTTAGGAGGTCAAATGTGATTAAAAGGTTGCACTGTGATGAAAAGAGGTCTGTAGGTTTACTGAGTAGCTTGATTGTCCATTTGAATGAAAGAGGAAGAAAAGCAGGTGCCATAAATGATCTCCTCCTATCCAGAGGATAATAACATGCAGATTCTGCCTCTTCATAAAACTCATAGTTTAGTTAGTGTTAGCAACATGAAAAAAGGGGGAAATTGTATGCAAACAAGTCTAAGCTGAGTAAACCTTCAAACCAGGAGCCACAAGTCATCTGAGGTAACATCTGAGGAGTCCCTTTCCATTAGGTGTTTAGTTACTGCGAATCAAAGTGTTTAATTAGAAAGAATCAAAGATGCTTATGTTTGATGGTCAACCATCTGTGTCTGCCTGCCGTTTCCCTGCCTGCCTGCTGCCTTCAGGTACAGCTGAAGCCCTCTGTTTCACACACTATTTGCAAGCCAGTCACTCTGCTGCTGTGTGCCGCCGATGCTGGCATGTCACATGATGCCTCTGTGCTGCAGGGAAATGTAGAAGTGAACATGTCTTCCTGATGGCATAGCTGTGTTTGCACCGTCAGCCACATGATGGTGCTATAGCAGCATGTCACTCTTAGAGACGTGTCAGTGTGTGTTTGAGGGCTTCAGTGTTGTGATGTGTAGAAATGAACAAACAAAGAGGAATTAAATATTTGTATCACTCTAATGCCTATTTCCATTCTTAATGATGAGCTTTACACTTAAAAATACCTTTGATGGAAAATTATAGTATCTGTCTGTCCAATATTTGATCTTATTAGTCACAAATGTAGCATAAGCAATTGGATCAACTCCACCATGCAGTACTTAAGAGTGAGTGTGAAATGAAGGACACATTTCGTAAGAGTTTATAAAACAGTTTATAATACGGTAAAGAGATTCAGAAAACAAAGAATTAAATCACTGAAAATTTAAAAAGGGAAGTACATTTTTCTTGTCGCCTTGACAGGGGCGTGCCCAGACTTCTTGGGACCGGGGTGGCATGATGTATTTGTGCAAAAATAATAAACAGAGATCATTTGTTCACCTTTCCTCTCTACACTCATCATACCTAATTTGACTTCTGACATTTAAGTATCCAATAGAGGTGTCACTCCTGCTTAAATTTTTAATTCTTTTCGTCCAAAGTGCTCAAAAATAGCAAGTAAACTCTTGCAAAGTGTGTGGGTTTATACAACCAATTTTTGCTTTTTAGATTAAAATCTATCCAATTGAAAATTCTGCTTCTTCTGCTTACTCCAGTCTGGTGGTTACATACATGACACCATTGTTGTGCGGCACTATAAAGCAGATGGTGGTTGAGCATCTGTTGTGCTGACTCTTGTATCATTCTCCAACCAGTTTCAACTCACCATGTTGCTGCAACATGTTTTTATGCAACCTCAAGTCACACCTGCCAGGAGAGAATACAACAGGGTTTACATGTCTATATAACTGGAGAACAAAAATGAATATACCACCTCTGTCTTCAAATCAAGATTCCCTTTGGATTGGTGTTTAGATTTAGATCAAAAGTGGTCGTATAAACCCAGAAAAAATGCAACATTTTGATTACTGTAAAGCTGCTTATAAAACTATCATGGTTGTTATTGGGCAGTTGGACAACATGCAAGAGTTTTCCAGCAATTTTTGATTTCTTGTGAATGCACATTTCTCATAAAAAAGATAAGAAAAATACTAAAACCATGTTCTAAAACAACCTACAGAGTTGATTTTAACATAAGTGCCACTGTTGACCAGGAAATTATAAGTTAGGATTTTGGGGTGGCACCCAGGGAGGCCAAAACATATTTCAGTGGGGGCCCAAACCACCTCTTTCCACCCTTCTGGACACACCCCTGCCTGCAGAGTGACATTAGTGTTAAAAACAAAGGCAAGTCTTCTGGAAGAGTTTTAAAAGTAGTGACAAATGCTTTTAGAAGCTCACCTATTTATATTGCATGACAAACCCATTTACACCCTGTCATATTTAAAGAGCAAGAGTAGATAATTGCATTGTATCCAGGCCACTGTGTAAGTTATATCTGCAGCCTACACAGCAGAGCTCAGTGATAGATTATGACTACATTGCCCATTCTCTATAATATGTTAGAGCTGAATGAACTCATTTAGTCTGAGACTTTCTTATGAGTTATCTCTACAGCTAAAGAGGTTAAGCATCTGGAATGAAATAAAAGTAACTTAATGGCAGGAAGGAGTGGCAAATCAAAGAAGTAACAATTTACATGGCAGCACATCCTGTGTAAATCTAAGCAAACACTAGTTTAAGAGTGTAATATTTTACTTCTACTGCCAGGGAGTGAGACATTAAAAACACACATTTCATTGTGCTATACCTGATCCAAGAAAACACAGCAGTTAAAGAGAGAGGAGCTTTTTCCTTTAGCTGAAAGGTAATCCTATTAAAACCTCCAAGAAATGACAACACAGTGGTTAGGCTGAATATAAACCTGAGCAAAGCAAATCCACTCAGAGGAACCTAGTGTTAAGAGCGTGCTCTTGCAGGAATACTCCATTAACACTTCATCTTATCATCGACAGAAAAGTGAGTCCTCGTTACACGCTGGTTTGCCGAGGCTTCTTATCAGGGAGCGAGAGGACAAAAGGGAAAAGTATGCCCTTCGCTGCAAAGAGGACACTCAAATTCTCATCTACAAACCCAGGAGAGACCTCGTCAGCGTCATACTTCATGGTGAACTGGCGGCTGATGCAGTAGACGGTGTCATAAATTGGGACACACTGAAAGGCTGGGCAGTGTTGGATGCGTTTGGTGCTGCACTCGTACCACAGCCGAGCCACCGTATGGTAGCGGTACACACTCACTCCAAGCACGGGGTTCACATCAAACCGATACAGAAACCTCCCAACTGCCACCATGTCTGCTATTCTGTCTTTGCCTCCTACCATCACACTTGGCCTCCAGGTGTCGGTTTTGGGGCTGTAGCGCAGGAGCATGTACTTCAGAGTCCCCCCAGAAACAAAGAGCTCCCCGTTGCACACTGTGACGTAATGCGCTACAGCAAATGTATCATTTGGCAGTGGAGCCACAAACGTCCATCTGTCCAATCGTGGGTCGTAGCGCTCCACAGAGGAGTGGCACTCCCCTCCGATGGCGTAAATGTAGCCCTCAAGAGCTGCCAGTTTGCAGCGGGGCCTGGCTTCATTCATGGGGCTGATCTCCTTCCAAATGGATGTCAAAGGATTGTAGCAAA